TGAGGGTTGAGGGTTTAGGGTTTAGGGTTTAGGGTTTAGGGTTTAGGGTTTGGGGTTTAGACCCTGAGATATGCAGAGGCCCCAGCCAGATCATGGAGAGCATGAGCTGCGACAGCCCATGGGCTGCTGGGCTTCTTTACGGGGCAGGGGGGGAGGGGGGGGGGGGGAGGGTTTAGGGTTTAGGGTTTGGGGTTTAGGGTTTAGGGTTTAGGGTTTGGGGTTTAGGGTTTAGGGTTTGGGGTTTGGGGTTTGGGGTTTAGGGTTGAGGGTTTAGGGTTGAGGGTTTAGGGTTTGGGATTTGGGGTTTAGGGTTTGGGTTTAGGGCCACTAGATCCCCTTACCCACAAGGCTGTCTGTACAAGACCCCACACAACCCTCGAACTTTAAACCGCCATTCCCCCTGTTCCTCGTATCCATTTGATTTCTGGTTGCTAAGGGCTTCACGAGGTTTATAGGGGTTGGGGGACCCTAATAGGGCCGAATCCGGTCACCTGCGGTCTGAAACACCTTTTGACTCTCCTAAGACCCGCATACTCTCACCCTCAACCCCTGAATCCCTCAATCGGCCCCTAAACCCCCTAGACCCCTAAGCCCTAAGCCCTCCAAGAGAATCCCTGAACCGGGCCCCCAAACCCCAAAACCCCTACCCTAAACCCTAACCCCTAACCCCTAAAAGCCCCAAAAGCCCGAAGCCCTAAAACCCTCGAAGATCTGAGCCAGTGAGCCAGGTGACGTATCACGCGTGGCTTGGCTCAAGTGGAGGGAACTCCCTGGCCTCGAGGTGTTGGAGCCCCAAAAATCCTAGAGCCCGAAGCCTAGTTTAGGGTTTAGGGTTTAGGGTTTAGGGTTTAGGGTTTAGGGTTTAGGGCTTAGGGTAGCCTGGTTCCAATTCTTCAAGAGCTCGCTTCCTTGTGGAAACTCCATGAAGCAAAGGAGGGTTAGAGCTCCATGAAAGCCTCGCCCCCTTGCAGGTTTCCGATGTTGTCCCTCACACTCTGCGCCTTGTCTCAATGGGCCGAGGCGTTGGGTTTAGGGTTCAGGGTCTAGGAGAGAGAGGTTGGAGGGGTTTGGCCCTTGGGACATTTTTTTTTAGTTTCCCTTATTGGGTTTAAGAGGATCATATTCAGGAACATGAATCAAAGGGTTTTAAGGCCGACCTAGGTTACATGCTTCTGCACACATGTCTGCTCGCTGGTGAACTGCCCTAAGGCGCAATGGCACCAAGTAATTCCTCCTCAGCCCGTGCAATGCCTAGTACCCGAAAACTTTGAGACACTTTCCCTAAGCCCAAAACCCCAAACCAAGCCCCAAACCCCAAAACCCCCGAAGCCCTACAAGCCCTCAACTTCAATCCAGGCAAATACTGCACGGCGGCCTCGCTCCTCCGGCTACAGCCGGGCGACCGGGTACTCGAGTTCGGCCCAGGATTGCCCCACTGGGGCTTTTGGCTTTAGGGGTTTGGTGGTTTGGGGGTGTAGGCGTCTAGGGAGGGGGTTTAAGTGTTTCGGGGGTTTAGGGGGTTTAGGCGTCTAGGGGCTTAGGGGTTTAGATGTCTAGGGGACTTAGGGGTTGTACCAGTAGGTTTTGGGTCTCTGGAGGGCGTAGGTACCTAAATGAGGACATGGCCCGCTATCGCTATAGTTGCCCTTGGGCCGCACAAGGGTTCCTACGTGGTAGCGTTAAGAGCCCCAGTATCTGCCATGAAGGCAGATGGAGTCTTGGGTTTCCCTAAACCCTAAACCCTTAAACCCTAAACTCTAAACCCTAAGCCCTAAACCCTAAACCTTGGGGTTTAACTACCCCCTCCGAATCTGAACATTTCGAGCTGCGGTGCCGCCGAGTGACGCAAGTGCCCATTAACCCGCTTGTCCGTGGGATTTAGGGTTTAGGGTTTTAGGTTCAGGGTTGGGATGTTCCTGTTTATCCTAACAGTCCTTAATCGGTATTAGAGTACCCCCCCATAATAATCCGTATTAAGGACTGTTAGTATAAGGGGAACATCCCAAGGTCAGGGTTGCGTTGTTCTCCTAGGCTCCTTGTGGCTTTCAGGGGTCAGCGTAGCAGCCTCGGCAACTCAAAAGCTCAAAATACCCCTTAATGAAGGAACATTCCTTAAACCATATAAGGAGCCCTACAACACTTTAAGGAAGATTTCTTCATGAAGGGATATTGGAGTCTCCGGCAAGGGAGAGGTGTATCACCCAAATTATAACCATTTTAGGGCACTTAAGGGGCTAAAAAGTGGGTGATAAGTACAGTTCTAGTCGGTGAATAAGTACCCTGAACCTCCAAGTAGTGGAGGATGCGGCCTTGCCGCCGCGTACCTCATGTCAGCCTTTGGGGTTCATGCCAGGACCCCAGGTGTGTGGAGAGGAGAGTTTAGGGTTTAGGGTTTAGGGTTTAGGGTTTAGGGTTTAGGGTTTAGGGTTTAGGGTTTAGGGTTTAGGGTTTAGGGTTTAGGGTTTAGGGTTTAGGGTTTAGGGTTTAGGGTTTAGGGTTTAGGGTTTAGGGTAACTGAGCACTATACTGTCAGATGAGTCAGACATGTGTAGTTAGGGTTTGTGACTTATGGGGTTTAGGATCGGTTCTCTGGGTAGTCAATTTTGTTCGCGTTTCAAAGTGTTGATTTGAATTGGGTTGACGGGCATCTCGGCTTTCTTAGGAGCTGGAGAGGGTCCGGTTGGCTACTTGCAGGATTACTTGGACCATAAGTCCCTTGATATCTAGTAGGTCCGGCCTAGGGTTTAGGGTTTAGGGTTTAGGGTTTAGGGTTTAGGGTTTAGGGTTTAGGGTTTAGGGTTTAGGGTTTAGGGTTTAGGGTTTAGGGTTTAGGGTTTAGGGTTTAGGGTTTAGGGTTTAGGGTTTAGGTTTACGGTTTAGGGTGTAGGGTGTAGGGTGTAGGGTGTAGGGTTAGGGTTCAGGCCGAGTGCACACAGCAGCTCTGTTGGATTTCAGGCCAGTTTTGGGCAACGTTCCCTAGGACCTTAAGCTTGCGCGCACAAGACAAGACCCTAAATCCCTAAACCCTGAACCTTAAACCCTACACCCGAAGCCCTAACCCTAAACCCTAAACCCTAAACCCTAAACCCTAAGCCACAGGTCTCCGTGCTCGAGGCCATGCCAGAGCACCTCATGGGAGCCCCCAAAGCGGCCGCGCAGGCTCCCCTAAACAAACTTAGGGTTTAGGGTTAGGGTTTAGGGTTTAGGGTTTAGGGTTTAGGGTTTAGGGTTTAGGGTTTAGGGTTTAGGGTTTGGGGTTTGGGGTTTGGGGTTTGGGGTTTGGGGTGTAGAGTTTCGGGCTTACGGTTTCATGCCTTCCTGAAGGACCCTATAATTCATTATGTCCCGACTTGCGAATAAAGATTCCTTTTTTGTCATCGTTCCTGTGCATCTCTTTTTCTTGGGGCGGGGTTGGGTTCGGGATTCCGGGCAAGGGAGCTGGCGCTTTCGAGTGCCAGGATGGCTCAGATGCATGTGGGCTCCTTTCAGGAAGTTAGAGTTTGAGAAGGGGACCCAAGTTGGGACGAGCAAGCTGACCAGTATGATTCCTCGGCCAAGCGACCACAATCAAAGACGTGCCAGGTGACAACCCTACACACTAAGCCCTAAACCCTGGTGGGCATCGGAACTACACCAGAGAGTGCCCAAAACCCTACACCCTAAACCGCCCTTCTCTAAGGGTAGTATGTTCTCTTAATCAAAGGGCCTTCCTTTTCCCGAAAGGGTTCTTTAGCTTTTAGGCCACTTGTTTTAGAGGGTATATTGCAAGTTGGGCCCGTGCACACCCACCCCAAAACCCAAAACCGTAATTGAACCCTAAACCCTCAACTCCTCTCTCAGGCCCATGCAAACTCGAAGCTCAACCCGACCAAGGTGGGAGTCGAGTTCGATGCCCTCTGCCAAGGCATCGGGGGATTCAGGGGGGTGGGCTAGGGCTTGGGGTTCAAGGTTTCTGTGTTTAGGGTTCTCTTTACGAATTGGGGGTTTACGACTTGGTGTTCGGGTTTCGGGCCGCTGTGTCATCTCCTCCATGCCACTATCATCCCACTGAGGGCATATCGAATGCTCTAGCTTTCAGTTTAGGGTTTCGGGCTTCGAACCAGGGAAAAGATGTCGATTGTCGCCTCCTCATACCAACCCGAAACCCCCCAAATGCTGAACCCCAAGCCCTAAACCCTAAACCCTAAACCCTAAACCCTAAACCCTAAACCCTAAACCCTAAACCCTAAACCCTAAACCCTGTGGCTTGGTGTCTGAACATAGTTCTCATGGTGAGCTCGAACGCCGGACCTCAGTGCTGGCCAGCTCGAACGGCTAGAAGCACCCTGAAACGGCCATGACCCTTTCACTGCCCTCGTGGCCCTACTTATGAACCCGGCTATGACTGCGCATGAACCTGCAAGGAAATGAGGAAAACCCAAACTCTAGAGTTCAGGTTTAGGGGTTGAGGTGTTATAGGGCTTAGGGTTTAGGGGTTGAGGGGTTTAGTAGGCACCGTTGCTTTCTGGCTGCAGGCGATGTGGCCGGATTAGACGCGTTCGCAGATGAGTCCTTCGTCCCTGGGCTGCACGAAATGGTTTAGGGTTGAGGGGTTATAGGGTTTATAGGGTTTATGGCCCTAACCCCTAACCCTAAACCCCGAAAACCTAAACCCTAGCCCAAACCCTAAACCCTAAACCCCTCTAAATCCATCCTCGAGTCCCCTTTCGGGTGCCAGGATGCCATCGTCACCAACGGCGCATTTCAGACCCTGAGGCGCCAAACGCGCGAGATGCGGGCTGTGAGGATGGGGTTCCTACCCTTGTAGGGTTTTTGGGTTTTGGGTTAGTGTTTGGGGTTTAGGGTTTAGGGTTTAGGGCTCAGGGTGTAGTAGGCACTTGAGATATTTCATACTTCCCAGCATATTGGGTTTTTGAGGATCATATGAGGCATATTTTTTCAGACGGCTTTAAGGGGCCCTCCTAGTAACCGATCAAGAACCTGCCAGGTCGGCTGCCGCGATGTGCGCGGTGATCCGGCGGCTGGTTCGGAAGCTGCGTCCGGGTGGTGCCTGGCAGCGAATTTCCACATCTCTTCGGTCTGCAGTAGGGTTTAGGGTTCCGGTATTGGCTTTAGCCCATGGGAGACACAACCCGAAACCCGAAATCGCATCTGCTCCGCATTTTTGTGCATCTACTCATGTTTCAAGACGTCGTCTTTGATATGCTTCTCAATACTCATGTCTTTGCATATCTGAATGTCTACGCTTTGTTTAACGTGCAGCTGCCAGCACGGCATGTTTAGCTATAGAAGCTCCATTCGGGTCAGGTCCAGGTTTCAGAATGTTCGACAGGAAGCATGCAGAGGAGATTAGTTCGGTCAGCATTTTGCGATGCGCTGAGTACTTCAAGCCTTTGCCCTCAACCTCAATCGCTCATATCCGGGGCCCGGGAAAATAGCTTGTGTGAGCTGCGGCTCGACATCACAAGAGCCCTCAAAACCTGAAAGCCCTAAACCCGAAACCCTAACTTCCCGAAAGCCTGACGCCTCAGCCGCCCCAATGACAAAACCAAGCTCCGACCGTTGACTTCTGAAGTTTTCGGCCCAATTCAAGCAGTCAGGTCCCTAGACTTGGTAGCCCAGTTGTACCCTTTACCCTTCTTGTTGGTTCAAGTTCCCTTATACAGTAACCAACCCCAAAACAGGTGCCCTTATTATGATATGGTTACTGGGTTACCAAGTAGAGGTTTAGGCGCCCCCTGCAAGTTCCCAACATCGAGGGCTAATGGCAGGTCTACGCAAAGCCCTAAACCATAGGCCATCAGGATTCAGGATTCAGGATTTAGGATGCAGGGTTGAGGGTTTAGGGTTCAGGGTTTAGGGTTCAGGGTTCAGGGTTCAGGGTTTAGGGTTTAGGGTTTAGGGTTTAGGGAGTCGTGCTCAGGTGCCATGTGGGTGGGCTTCCTTAGCGATCCGCGCCGACAGCTGCATTGGGCCCCCAGCCAGAAGCATCGAGCCCTATACTTGAATCCTGAACTTGAATCCTCATAAGTTCCTCTATACAACCCCCGTTAGGTTCCCCCCTGAAATCTGAAATATGAATCAAACCTAGGAGGGGGGAGGGGCGGGGGCGGGGGGGGGGGGGTATAGGGGGGGGGGTAGTAGGGGAAGCCGAAGCCGCCCTGTGGACATGTTCTATGCCCCGTTCTTGGGATCAAGAGGCTCATATAGATTATCGGAGGGTTCATGGGCTCTTACACCCCCCTAGCAAAGCCGACAACCCGAAGTTCGTGTCGGGTCAAGGGTCTCGCTTGGCTTTGATGTGTATATATCTCCTTCACCCTAGCCCCTACAGACCCTACAGCCCCCTTTCGAACGCGCCCAAAACCAAAAATGATCATCAAAATGCGTAAAAAACAATCTCCAAGGCACTTTGCCGTCCCCTTCACCCCAGAGGATCAGGAGCTGTGCTGCTCAGCTCATCTTCATCTAAGCTTCAGGTTTAGTGTCTATAGGCTTTATGGCTACGTTAAACGGCACTTCGTAGCTTATGCTCAAGCCGGTCCCGGCGACACTCTTCAAGGCACGGGGCTATAGGGTTTACAGGGCCTCCTTGTCTAAGGGTACGGTCCCGGAAAGCGGTTCCTAACCCTTTTGAAATGCTACTGAAGTATGGGCACCCTTGGGTTTTATCGGCATATAAAGGGTATGCGAAATATATACAGGGCCGAATGGGTTGCCAAAATGGAGGCTGCAGTGCATACGCCCCTGTAACTACCCTGAGAGTGTAGGAGATGCTACGCCCTAAACCTTACATCCTAAACCCTAAACCCTAAACCCTCAACCCTAAACCCTAAACCCTAAACCCTAAACCCTAAAACCCTAAACCCTAAACCCTAAACCCTAAACCCTGTGTACGGGACTCAGAGGTATGCAGCTGGCTGCCAAGAAGGACCGTCTGGTCTATGCTTCATGGCACAGTCAGCGGCCTTTCGGTTAGGGACGTAGGGAAGCCCATGACCAAGATCTGTGCATTCAGAGAGCCTGTGGGTTTAGTGTTGAGGATTATAAGGCCAAAGGTGCTGAAAACCCTAAGCCCTGAGCCATAAGCCTGAAACATACCAGTGTGGGGTTCGAAACGCAGGGCCTTGACGTTGAGAACCCATCTTTCCCCTGTGTTTTGGGTTCAGCTGAAGTCTGTCGACGGAGAGGGTTGGGGCGGGGTTGGGGGGGGGGGGTTGGCGGGTTGGTGTTGTCCTCAGTCCTGTTGGGGTACCCAAACTTCAAGGAATGCACTGGAAAAGTCAAAAAAGCGCGCCCTTAAGGCAAGCTTCACACTTAAAGATTCGAGGCCCTTCTTGGGTTTAATGACTTTAGCATGTTTGCGGCTCGGGCAATATGATCCTGGGCCGAGCCTGGCCCCCACTCCAAGCCCCAACGCTTAGGGCTTTGGGGCTTACGGGACCCTAAACCCCAGTTGTTTTTGTTGATATCTTCCTTAAGTCCTGGGCCGAATGGGCACACAGTACCAACCTTCACTGACCTGTTCCCCCAGCGCTGTCCCCAATCCCCTATTTCTGACGTTTTTGAAAGCCTTGAAACGAAAGGGTTTAGGGTTTGGGGCCCTACACTCTGAACTCTGATCTCTAAACTCAAAACCCCGACCCCAGACCCCTTTCTTTGAGGCATACATGTCTGAGATGGAGATCTTTGGGGTCACCGAGGCCCTTCCAATAGGACCATACCTGTACATTTGTGGCTCTCTCTCTGTCTGTGTGTGTGTGTGTTCTCGGCTTAGGGTTTAGGGCAAACCCCTAGCCCGATTTGCGCTGCCTAACCCTAAAGCCTGAATCCACCAGCCTACCAAAGTCAAATAAAGTCAAGGGTCCTAAATCACGTTCCAAGGATATGCCCTTGTCGTCCGTATTTGTTTCAAGAACACCCAGAAGCGGGCCATAGTTACATTGACAAACTGCCATCGTACCTTTTTCCCCAAGGCACACTTGTTTCACATACGGCTTTAAGAACCCTAAATCCCAAATCCCTAGGTTGGTAGCTCAACAGAGTTCAAAATCTCGAGTAGTTTCTGGTTCCTTAAGCCCCGATCAACCGTCCATCTCTCTACCTTGTACCGGAAAACCTAGAAGCTCTGAATTCAAAAGCACCCCAAAATCCTGAATGATGGCCCTAAAGACCCTGAACTCTAAGCCCCAAACCCTAGAAATCCCTAATCTCCAAACCCTTGTACCCCAAACCCTAAATTTGATTCCTCATCCTAAACCTACACCCGAAACCACAAACCCCAAGCACCCATCCCGTAAACCCTAAACCCTCAACCACAAACCCTCAATCCTAAATAGACCCTACACTCTACACCCCAAACCCCAAACCCTGAACCCTGAACCCCAAACCCTACACCCCAAACAGCCAAACCCCAAACACCCAAAGCCCTAAGCCCTAAACCCCAAACACCCTAAGCCCCAAACCCTACACCCCAAACCCTAAACCCTAAACCAAGTGCCCCAAAACCTCCCCAAACCCTAAACCCTAAACCCTAAACCCTAAACCCTAAACCCTAAACCCTAAACCCTAAACCCTAAGCACTAAACAGACCCCAAACCTCCAACCCTGAAGCTTCAGGCCTTCTCGTCGGCGACTCGCTCGTTGCCTCCTGGCAGCTATGGAGTTGAGTTTTTTAGGGTTAAGATTGTTGGTTTCAGGTTTTAGGGTTTCAGGGGGCTGTAAAGATGTTAGGGTTTCGGGGTTTTGGGGTCTTGGGGTCTGGGGGTTTCAGGGTTGCAGGGTTTTAGGTGGTTTAGGGGTTTTAAGGTTTTGGGTGTTATAGGGTTTTGGGGTTTAGGGCTTAGGGTTCAGGGTTTTGGGTTGGGCTTTGAGGTTCACGGGCACACCCCGTATGCCTCCGCAAATCCGCACCCAAAAGCTGATACATTATCCTTATACTTTAACATAACGATTTCTGCGAAAGTCTGTTATTGGGCGTCGGGGCTACTTTACCATTAAAGTTCTACCGAGGGATGTAGGCTAGGCACCCTACACCCCTTAAACCCTAAACCCCTCAAACCCCATAAGCACTAAACCCCCTAAACCCTAAATCCCTTAAACCCCAATCCCCCAAAACCCTAAACCCCTTAAACCCTAAGTCCCTTAAACCCTAAACCCCCTAAACCCCATAAATCCTCTAAACCCTAAATCCCCCTAAGCCCGAACCCCATGCGCAAGTCCTGAGGCTGCTTGCAAAGCCTTCAGCGTCTGAGCGAGCCACTGGCGACGAGCCCTGGAGAGACATTGCGGCCTGCCTTGGTTTTATTAACAAGGCTGTAGGGGTTTAGGGTGTTGGCTTTGGGCTTCGGGTTTTTGCCAGGTGCCCCGCTACTGTAAATAAGCCCTAGGCCCTAGACCTTTACCTGAGATTGGCTAAAGCGTTTTTCTCCCAATCCTCCTGCTTTGCAGGTTTTTGTTCGGGTTTAGGGCTTGTGGTTTTGGTGGGTCTCGGCAGGACTTTCTCTGTTTTGTGTTGTGCTAGTGGCGTTACTTCCTTGCCGTGCCCAGGTCTTTGGGCTTGTAGCGCTTTTAAGGTTTATGGGTTGATGGCTTTTTGCGAGGCTCATAGGTTCACGGGGCTTATAGAATTTTCAGCGTTTATAGAGTTTACAGGGTTTACAGGGTTTGTAGGCTTTGTAGGGTTAAGGTTGGTGGCTTGTAGGAAATGATGCCTCATGAAGGTGCAGCGGTTTTGGACAGAATCGTCGGCAAAAAGACCAGGGTTCAAGCAGCTGCGAGCTTCAGGTCTACAGGCAGGAACTTATCATAAACCCTAAGCCTTTAAGCCGTAAGGAACTTATCCTAAAGCTTGAACTTTAAACCCGAAGGAAATTATCCTAAACCCCAAAACAACCCTAAGCAACGTACCCTAAACCTTAAACCCGAAGCTCCGGAACCCTAAGCTCCTCAACTCCCAAACCCTCAGCTGGAACTTCACAAGGTTGCGCGAGGGTTTTTATCCCCACATGAACACTCGGTAAATTTTTCTCTCTATATACATATATGTATACACATATATATATATACACACACATTCTAGCTAAAGGGGCCCGTGCATTCGGCTGAGGCCCACCAATATCCAATGAGCCCAGCACACGGCCTGCCCCAAACCTTTCTAGGGTTTCGGGCATAGAGAGCTAGGGAATGGAATGCCGTTGATTGGTTCTTCCCACCAAGCTGAGGATCGCGACACGCAAAGAGCAGCTGCCATCTATGGCTGCCCAGAGGCAACATGGCGTTTCTGCTTTCTGGCTCAGAATCCTACCTTTGCATGCGTTTGGGATTGGTAGTTTAATTAGGGCTTAGCTGCCCAACCTTCGCTCAAACCGGATTTTGTTTGAACCTGCAAGCCCCTGGCATCTTCCAAGCAGATTCCGAGTTTCTGGGCACCTAGATCCTAAACCCTTAAAGGTAACCTAAACCCCACACAAATCACCTTAAACCCTACCGAACCATTCAAACAAAGCCCTCAACCCCAAACCCTAAATCCTAAACCCTGAACCCTAAACCCTAACCCTAAACCCCAAACCCTAAACCCTAAACCCTAAACCCCAAACCCTAAACCCCTTTCGCAGGCCTCGGAGGCATCCCCCTCGCCGGCAGCAGAGGCTGTGGCAGTGCCAGGGCCGCAGAAAAGTGGAGGGTTTTTAGGGTTCAGGGTTTTGGGTTTTTGGGGTATTTAGGGGTTTTTAGGGTCTTTCAAGGGTTATATAGGAGGTGAGAAGGTACCAAGTTAAAAAGTTCCATCTTATGAACGAGTAGTTAAATTCGAAGCACCTTCAAACACCCTTGAAACATGGCCCCGAAAGCTGGAGATCTCCACCGGTTACGGGGGCGGTTAAGGTTTACTTACAGCGCTTAGGCTTAAGGGTTTAGAGTTCAGGGGTTCTAGAGAGTTGAGGATTTTAGGACCCCCGGGCTCTGCGGCTCAAGCAGCCCATGAGCCGAGGAGCTCCGCACTTCGTGGCTGGCTCCAAGCGAGGCGCGCAGCTGGCGAACAGGCGCGGCCACCCCCGGAGGATACTACCCGGGGGGTCGGAAGCATTAAAGAAACGGTAGTCCCTTTAGGGTGCCTTTGTCATGATACCATGATCACCCCCCCCCAAAACCCTGTTCTAATTATTTCAGGATTGCGGGGGTTTAGGCCTTCTGTAGGTTTTATAGGTTTAGGGGGGGTTTAGGTTTATCAGAGTTTAGGGTACCCGGAGGTTTCTCCTTTTCAGTATTTCTGGGGGCCCTTAGCTTTTCCCTAAGCTTTCTGAACTCCCTAAACCCTAAACCCTCAACCCTAAATCCTAAACCCTAAACCCTAAACCCTAAACCCTAAACCCTAAACCCTAAACCCTACTCAGCTGTCTTTGCACCCCAGGCCCCAGCTTCTGGCTTTGCGCCCAGCGGCGCCTGGAGGAGCGAGGCCGGGAGCTGCGCGGCGGGCTGCGCCCCGGCGGAGAGTTGAAGAGTAGGGTTTAGGGTTTAGGGTTTACGGTTTACGGTTTAGGGTTTAGGGTTTAGGGCTTGGGGCTTAGGGTCTCGGAGGTTGCGAGTCTTTGGGTTTAGGAGGGTTAGGGCGATTATTGTTTAGGGAGTTTCCGGTTTAGCATGGTGGGGTTCGAGTTTAGGGGGTTTGGGGGAGTTTAGGGATGGTTGCGGGGTGTAGGTCTTAGATCTTCATGCGTGGAAGTGCATGGCCTGTTGAATTTAAGAAGTAGATACCCAAAGCAAGATCTATTCTACTACAACTGTAGCTTTCACCTTGCTCTTCCTCCTAGGTTGATGGTTTGGGGTCAGGCACTTAGGGCTCCAGCGGTTGAGAGGTTGGGAGTTTCTTGGTTGTAGGTTTAGGGTTTAGGGTTTAGGGTTTAGGGTTTAGGGTTTAGGGTTTAGGGTTTAGGGTTTCGGGTTTAGGGTTTAGGGTTTAGGGTTTAGGGTTTTGGGTTTTGGGTTTTGGGTTTTGGGTTTTGGGTTTTGGGTTTTGGGTTTAGGGTTTAGGGTTTAGGGTTTAGGGGGGTGATCTTCTGGAGCCCTCTCAACGCTGTTGAGGGCTCTTCGTCCTGAGGTTTGTAGGTCCGGCCGGGAAACCCTACACCCTGAAACCCAAAGGGCATCTGGTCTCCCGGGTTTCATGGCTTTGGGCTTTAGGTGTTCAGGGTTTAGGGATTAGGGTTTAGGGTTTGGGGTTCAGGGTTTAGGGGTTAGCCGGAGCTTGCGCCAAACATTCCAATAGAGGTTGGGCGAAGTTGGGGGGGCTTGGGATGCTAGAAGCTCTCCAAAAGTGGGGCCCAAGTAGTTTCGGGCTTTGGAGGGTTTGGGGTATAGTCTGGCCGAAAGCACGAAGCCCTAAACCCTGAAACCTAAACCCCTGAAGGGCAGGGGGGTGTGTGGGAGAAAGGTGGGCAGGAGGGGGGAGGGGGTTGGGGACTGGAAAAAACAAAAGAGGGCCTCACATTCTGCAGGTGGGTTGTGGATGCCTTTGCCAGCCGGCTTGAGGTACCTGCTGCAAGATGCGATTGGGGATTTCGTGGTTTGGGGGCTTGGCTCGGATTGGGGGGTATGGAGGTTTGCTGTTTGGGGGTATGGGGATTTAGGGTTTTGGGTTCGAGTAGTGTCTTCTTGAGGTTCACAGGTAGCTTCAAATTGGGTTAAGTACCACTCCATTTACAGGTATAGTTAGGGGCGGGACGCTTCGCGAGCGTTTGGGTCCAGGGTCTTGGTAGGGACCCGGGGAGTTACCTTAAGAACCCAAACCCGTTCGCTCGGCCACCTAGACCCGAAACCCTAAACCCTGAAACCCCAAAGCCCCTAAAGCCCTAAACCCCTAAAGCCCCTAAAGCCCCTAAAGCCCCTAAAGCCCCTAAAGCCCCTAGGCCCCTAAAACCCTAAAACCCTAAAGCCCTAAAGCCCCTAAAGCCCCTAAAGCCCTAAGACCCCTAAAGCCCCTAAAGCCCCTAAACCCCTAAAGCCCCTAAAGCCCTAAAACCCCTAAAGCCCCTAAAGCCCTTAAACCCTAAAGCCCTAAAGCCCCAAAACCCTAAATAAAACCCTAAAATAAAGCCCCTAAAGCCCTTAAAGCCCTAAAGCCCAAAAACCCAAAAGCCCTAACTAAAGCCCTAAAAGCCCTAAAAGCCCTAAAACCCTGGCGGCTGCACCCATGTGTCCCTTCAGGCGCAGCACGTCCGTCGCCTCCTCGATCTCCCACCCGCGCCCGAGAGCCGGCGGGACCCTGGGATGTCAAGGTTGAGGGTTTAGGGTTTAGGGTTTAGGGTTTAGGGTTTAGGGTTTAGGGTTTAGGGTTCAGGGTTTAGGGTTTAGGGTCTAGGGTTCAGGGTTCAGGGTTTAGGGTCTAGGGTTCAGGGTTGAGGGTTTCCACGAAGCTAAGCGGGGGGCTTCCGAAATTCCGGGTACCTTCTTTGGGGTCCTTATGATAAGGGAAGCCTACTATTTGGGGGTCTATATGAGGGGCCCCTTATCTTCCTAAACCCCCAAGTTGTTCCCAAAACCTCTGAAGGGCTTCTAGGTTTCAAGATTTTATAGAGGGTTTGGAGACTTGAAGGGTTTTATGGGCTTCATGGGCTTTATGGGCTTTTTATGTTTTTGTTGTTTGTTTAATGGTTTTTGGGTTATACAGAACCCTGAATAGCCCCCAAACAGCTAGGATTCAGCTTGCACATCAGTCATATGGCGGCCACTTCTCAGTCCGATAGCCCCTTGTCGGATACCCCACACACTGGTGGCCGCCTCAGAATAGCAACCCGGAAAGGGACCGTCATTTGGAGAAGTGAGCATATGAGGATCCCTGTGCTCGTAATGGAGAATGCCTTGATTCAGGTTTAGGGTTTGGGGTTCAGGGTTCAGGGTGCAGGGTTCAGGGCGGAGGTTGTGCGTGTGTTTAGGACACTTGGGCGGACGACCTTCTCATCCCTACTGCCGTGGACATCGTGGCGTGGCAGCATCAACGTCGCCGCACAGCTTCCAAGGGTTCAGGGTTTAGCGTTTAGGGTTAGAAAAAGTTATATGTAATTGGATACGTTTTATCAATTTAAGTGTGAGGGGGGAGGTGATTCCTGCACATCCGTGCTCATGGGAAGCAAGGACCGTCAGTACATAAGGTTGGGTTCTTTCAACTATCCCGAGGTACATACAGCCCCATGTACCTACCATTTTGCACCCCAAAACCAGAGTAGGACACTTCATGAGAACGGCCACCAGAAGCACCGAAGCCATTCATACAGAGCAATCTCGGATCCCTCTCGCCCATTTTCTTCGCGCAACGAAATGGTCTCCAAGCTTTCGAACATCCGAAGCCCCCAGTCGAATAGCACCCGACATTCTCAACCCCAAGACCCCTCCCCCCCTCCCCCTCCCCCGCTAAACCCTACACCCATAGTTTCAAAGCTAAGTAAGCTCTACACCCCCGGGGTCCACTTCTAAACCCTCAAGTGCGTATCACGAAAGGGATCCGCAATTTCTTGCTTGTGTATTCGAAGCAGCAAGACTTGTAATTTTGTCAGAGCATGAAGACTCTGTTCATGTCTAATTAAGGAAGAGCAGTCAGAATCTTTGCAGAATCTTTGCAGGGGTTGCACGTACAGTCAAGACGATGCAAAGCCTTGAGCGAGGTTCTCGACGACCTGGAAGCGCGATTGGCCGCCGGGCTGTGCAGAGAGGGCGCTGCCTAATGGTTCTCAGTAGGTAGAGCATGAGGGAATTGGGTACCCTATATAGCTCCTGTCCCCCTATATAAACCTTTTGAAGAGATGCTGTAAGGGTAAGGGTGCTACTTTCCCCTCATTCCCTACTAAGCAGCTGAGAACCAGCACGTCTAGCATGAGGGCTTCTTTTTGTGGTACGTTTCAATCCAATGACAGCAAACCTTAATCCTGCCAAAGCTTTAACACCAAAGGCCATCTTCCCCAAAAAACGGAAATTCTACACAGCTTCCCAACAAATGCAACAAGCTACTCCATCAGGATGCAAGACAATAATCAGAGCTCCACACTAGAAGCTGCATGCCCTACATTACCAGTGTTTATGGCCCGTTATAATCGGGTATAACATCCTTGCCACCCCGGACGGTTAACACCCACATACACCGACCCATGAACCTCCACGCATGACGCATGGAAGCCCTGAAACCGGTTCAGGGTTCAGGGTCTAGGGTTTAGCCACGGTTGTGGATGTGGCATCCAGGCTGTTTAATTAGCTGGAAAAGCGCACGGGTTTGCCAGCCCAAGCGGCTTCGTACGTAGGGTTGAGTGCTGAGTAGGTTGCCTTTGATTGTTTGGGGTTGCCGTAAACTTGCCCAAAGAACCCCCAACAAATCCTTGCACGCATTCCCAGCCTCAGCCTGGAGCCCGATACCCAAAACCCTCTAGGGTTTAGGGTTTAGGGTTTAGGGTTTAAGGTTTAGGGCTATCCCGAAACACTGCATTGCCTGGTTGCCTGAGGAGGAGGATCTGGGTCTTCCCCGGGCTCACAGCAATCCGTGGCACCTTCTCAGGCCACCACACCAAGATCCCATAACCCTATAAAACCCTAGGCTTTGGGGGGAAGGAGGGGGGGGGGGGGGTGCTTCTATTTGTTTCTAGGAGGATTCCTCAGGTTTGGGGCTTCTGCTAGCATGTATGGTGTCGAAATTCTAAGAAGAACCGTCACTATTCGTGAAAGGGCTGTTTGAAGAACATTCCCTAAACCCTATAAACCCCATAAACCCCGCAAAGCCTGTCAAGCCTATAAACGCTATAAACCCCCATAAAACCCCATCAAACCCTACAGACCCTATAAACCCCAAAATCTAAACCCCAAACCCTAGACCCCAAAACCTAAACCCCAATACCCAAACCCCAAAACCTGAACCCCCAAAACCCTATAAACCCCTTCAAACCCTGTAAACCCTAAACCCCGAATCCTAAACCACAAACCCCAAACCCCAAACCCCAAACCCCAAACCCTAAACCCTAAACCCTAAACCCTAAACCCTAAACCCTAAACCCTAAACCCTAAACCCTAAACCCTAAACCCTAAACCCTAAACCCTAAACCCTAAACCCTAACCCCCCTAACAACTAAGCCCCAAATCCTCAACCCGGCCAGGTACGGAGCCGGCTTTGCCGGCCGCTACCTTGCCGCGGATTGCCAGGCCGAGGACCCCTGCGCTGCAGGATTGCTAGGGTTTAGGGTTTAGGGTTTAGGGTTTAGGGCTTAGGGTTTAGGGTTTAGGGTTTAGGGTTTTGGGTCAAGGTTGCAGATGCCCTTATGTCCAACCCCAGCCCATTGTACAAGCAACAAGAGCAATAAACGCATGTCACCTACACCTTGTAGACCTTCTTCCCTTCACATTGCCACTGAGAAGTTGTTTCCTGCCATGCGGTCGGACTCCCCACTATGGATCCAGTCCCATGTTGAAAAACTCCTCCACATATCATTATCACACACCCAGAATGGCCCTTTTTTCTTTTGAAGCCGGGGGGGGGGGGGGGTATCGCACCCTGTATGGCGCCTGGCTCCCTTGCAAGTTCAAGCCAAGGCGTCGGATGAGGAGCAGCACGTCACGGTGCCCCGGTAGATTTGGGAAGAGGTCGATGTTTAGGGGATGTGGCTCGCTAGGAGCTGCAGTAACCACACAGACAACCCTTATCCATTTAAACCTTGCTCCTGGGTCCTCACGCTAGAGCCCTAAACCTTCAACCCCAAACCCTAAACCCTAAACCCTAAATCCTAAACCCTAAACCCCAAACCCCAAACCCTAAACCCTAAACCCTAAACCCTAAACCCTAAACCCTAAACCCTAAACCCTAAACCCTAAACCCTAAACCCTAAACCCTAAACCCTAAACCCTGAACCTCCTGAGTATTTCATGAGCCATGAAGTACAGCGAGGTGCTGCTCTTCGCTTCGCCCTGTTGGAGCGAGCTGTCGCCTTGCGTGCCCTCGGATTCAGGCCTGCTTGGGATTTAGAGTTTAGGGTTTAGGGTTTAGGGTTTAGGGCTAGGGTTTAGGGTTTAGGGTGTAGGGTTTAGGGTTTGGGGTTCAGGGTTTCAGGGTTTTAGGGTTTTAGGGCTTTAGGGTTTCAGGGTTTAGGGTTTTAGGGCTTTAGGGTTTCAGGGTTTTAGATGTTTAGGGTTTCAGGGTTTTAGGGCTTTAGGGGTTTAGGGCTTTTAGGGTTTTAGGGCGTTAGGGTGGTTTAGGGTGTTTAGGGGGTTTGACGGTTTTTTGGTTTCAGGGTTTCAGGTTTCTGAGCCCTAAACCCTAACCCTAAACCTCAAAGCCCTAACCCCAATCAACTAAACCTCAAAGCCCTAACCCCCCCCCCAAACGCCCCAAACCCTCAACCCAAAGCCCCAAAACCCCCCCAAAAGCCCCAAACCCTCAACCCCCCCCCTAAACCCCAAAGGCCCCAGAGCCCGCCCCTAAGTTCCTCAAAGCCCTCAGTCAGCCCGAAACCTCAAGGCCTTAAACCCCCAAAAGCCCCCTAACCCTCAACCCCCTAAGCCCCCAAAAGGCCCCCCCCCCGAAGTTGGGAGGAGCCGACCTCCCCGATGGGGCGGCCTTCTTCCCGAAGCTCGGGCTCCGCGTGCGCCTTCCCGAAGGTGAGGCTTCGGTGCTTTAAGGGGTTCAGGGGTTGTAGGGGGTTCAGGGGTTTAGGGGTGTTAGGGGTTTAGGGATTTAGGGGATTAAGGGATTCAGGGGTTTTAGGGGTTTAGGGGTTTAGGGGTTTAGGGGTTTAAGGGATTCAGGGGTTTAGGGTTTCAGGGGGCTTAGGGGTTAAGAGTTTCGAGGTTGGGGTTTTAGCGCTGACGGGTTTCAGGGCATTTTGGGGCCTCTAGGGTTTAAGAGTTTCGGGTAGGGGCTTCAGGCCTCTTAGGAAATTCAGGGGTTTATGGGCTTAGGGGGGGTGGGGGGGTGGGGGTGAGTACGTGGTTTAGTTCAGGTGTTTAACGTTTAGAGTCAAGGAGCCTGTAGAAGTTGAAGTGTGTAGGGTTTTGAGGTCTTACAAGTTACAGCCTGAAGCCCAAAAAGTGGGCTTCCTCGGTATTGAGGGTTAGGACTTGCGCGAGTCTTCAGGCCTTCATTGTTTCAGCGAGATATGGCCTGCTGGTTCTTAGCAGAGAATGAGGGAATCAGGCACCTCATGGAATCCCTTGAAGTTAGAGAGAACACTGGCTTTGTTGTGCCGACGGTCGCGGCTGGTATCAGCAGAGGGGCATGCAGCACGCCATTTTTGCTACAAGGAGGCTGCGTCCAGTTTCGATCCCTGAGAAGCCGAAACCCTAAACAAACCTCCTTCGGTGACCCAAAGCTGCCATAAACACTAAACCCCTATCAGGGTGATCCAAGAAGCCGGAAGCCGGAAGCGCCTAACCCCTCCAAACAAAGCCTTCGGCCCCTTCAGGGTATCCGAAACCGCCTAAGCCCCTCTCCCAAAAAAACTTCCATAAAACACGAGAAACCCCTTCAGGATTGCACTAGGCCGAAAGGCCTAAAGCCAGCCAAAAGCATTCAAATTCACAAACACTAAACCCCTTCAGGGTTACTTCCCCCTAAACCCGAAGGCAAAAAGTGCCTCAGTGGCCCTAAACCCTAAACCATAAAGCCGGAAACACTAAATCCCAATTCCTAAACCCTAAAACCCCTTTAGTGGCCCCTAAACCCAAACCCCAACCCTATACCCTACCCTGCGAGGCGGCTTGCTGGCGTACTCGCGTGGGGCGACTCAGAGATCTGCTGCCTGAGCTTGCCCCCGGGGGTCTTCGATGAACCTTAGGAAGTTGGGTTTAGGGTTTAGGGTTTAGGGTTTAGGGTTTAGGGTTTAGGGTTTAGGGTTTAGGGTTTAGGGTTTAGGGTTTAGGGTTTAGGGTTTAGGGTTTAGGGTTTAGGCTTTGCAGGGTTTAGGGTTTCGGGTTTTGGGTTTGGGCGGGTCTCGGGTCTAGGCGGGTTTCGGAGTCAAATCAGGTCCATGTATTGCAATAGTAGGTACTCGGGCCCCAAAGCCATGATACCAGCAGGCATGCCCTAGTGAGGGTTTGGGTTCACGCTGCTCTATTCCCCTTTTCGTGTTTATGGCCCCTAACCCTAAACAGAATACATTCTAAACCGAAGCCCTATATGACTCGAACTCGAACCTCCCGGTACAGAGCATGAACTACAAACCCCTGTAGCTCTTGTCTTCCCATTGAGTCCGAAATGTTTCGGGCCATGCAGGCAACGACGGCTGCCACCTGCTGGCGGCACTTGCCGCCGAAGCTCCGGAGCAGGCGCCTTTCCGCTGTTGCTCGCTTCTTTGGTATGTTGCGGGGTCGAGTGAAAAACCGTCAGGTTTTTGACCTAAGACGAAACAACGACCCAAGAAGCGCACTCGAATGAAGGCGGCCGTCCCAGACCGGCTAGGTTTCGAGCCAAGCACAGGTGGTGGTGATGCGCACGCCTCGCTTGGCTGTGCGACTCCTTGCCTGAACACCGTGCAGCCTGAAGCAGTATGCTGACACCAGATATCATGCTCATCATACCTGAATATGTCTCTTCCAGCTGGTTACGAAGTCGGAAGCCAGAACAGGCCACGGGCTGACATACATTGCACTGCGGGCCCTCAATGCAGGGACGGGGAATGTGAAAGACTTCAATGCAGTCCCTGCGTCACCTTCGCAGGTCCTACTGCAGAAGCAGCTCAGCGCAACACATGGCTAAGGGTTGCCGGGCGGTCGTTGAGAGGTTGCTGTTATCTTTGCTTCCAAGACGTCTGCATGGCCTAGCACCTACAAAGATTGCAGTAACCTTGAACCGCTAAACCCGTCAACCCCCGTATAAACCCTAAACCCTAAACAAAAAACTCTTGTAAACCCTTGGAAACCCAAAAACCTCCTTTAAACCCTTGTAAACCCTAAACCCTAAATCCTAAACCCTAAACCCTAAGCCCTAAACCCTAAACCCTAAACCCTGAACCCTGAACCCTAAGCCGCAAGAGCAGCTGAGGACCTACTTCACACAGCCGGTGGAGCCGAGACTGCCACAGGCCGAGAAGTTTGAACTTTCGGGTTGTAGGGCTTGGGGGTTTAGGGTTTAGGGTTTAGGGTTCAGGGTTTAGGGTTTAGGGTTTTAGGGTTTTAGGGTTTTAGGGTCTAGGGTTTTAGGGTTTAGGGGAAGAGTACCAGTCTTTCAGAGGGCTTCCATGTAGGGGTGGGGGTTGGGGTGAAGTTTTAGGTTTTCGGGCTGGGGTTTCAGCCACTTTGGTGTCCATGGCAGTATGACTCAGTATGACTATGAGGCATGCCGGGCTGCAGAATTAGGGTATCCGAGCCATCTTTGCCGGGCTAGTCCTTGTTCGTAGAAGCCGTAAATCCTTAAAATCTTAACTCCACACCGTTTAGGGTTTGTAGGGTCTTAAGCCCCAAAAAAAGGACCAAAGATGCAACTGCAGGTGCCACACTTCTGCCATACTGGCGCTGCCGCGGGAGAATGTGTGCCCCTTGGGCTGAACCGACTAGGATTTCTGCGTTTTCTGCGTTTGGGGTTTGCAGGGTTTAGGTTTGATAGTCTTTTACGGTTGGGCTTTTTGGGGTTTAGGGTTTTGTTTAGGGCTTAGGGTGCTTTTAGAGTTTGGGTTGACTCAGGGTTTAGGGCCTCAGGTTCTCCTAGGATGCACTGCTGCAGATATATCAGCCAGCACCTGAACAGTGGCCGTTTTTTGTTGATTAGTCGAGTTGGTCATGTTCGAATTGGCCATGCGAGCAAAGAAGGGTGTTGGGACAGGACGTGATTCCGCACAGAAGGGTGTTCAAAGATGTCGAAGGCCCTGTCCGCACACGACACCCGCAGCGCCCCAACCCTCAACACTAAACCTTAGTTTAACCTTAACAGCACTATAAACCTAAGCCCTAAACAATGAAACTTAAGTGCCATAAACCTCAGCCCTAAACATTAACAACTACGCATAGGGATGTTCCCCCTTATCCTAACAGTCCTGAATAGAGATTATATAGTACCCCGACTATGATCCCCTTTCAAGGACTGTTAGTATAAGGGGGAACATCCCAATCCCTAAACCTTAAATTCTACACTGTGACACCCCCAAAGAACACTTTGAGATGTTACCCCTTATACTAGCAGCCCTTTATAGGGATTATAATAGGGGGTACTGCAATCCTACTAAGGGCTGTTAGTATACACACAGCACCCTGGAGCTGAAGCGAGGCAATTCCGCTTGGCTCCCGCGAGTCGTGGCGCTGACCGCGTGCAGCCACTCGGATGTCTTCAGCTTCCAGCATGATACCAAGTGGCCTCTTTTTTTTTTTTTTTTTTTTTTTGGGGGGGGGGGGGGGGGGTGGGTCCCTTTAACAGGAATCTATGCTATTTGGGGTATAAACAGGGTACCCCTATTAAATTTGGGGAAATGCCCAAGTACATCTGTTTGTGGTTCAGCATGTTGGGTACAATGCCGATAAAGTAGCAGTGCAACTATTTTCAAGGGCATTAAGATCTAGTCACAGGATAGTGGATTCGGGAGAGCAGGAAAAGGACGAGGTCTTAAACCATCTTGAACCCGAACCCTGAACCCTCAGACCCTATATATTGGGATGCTCACCCTTGTACTGACCGTCCTTCATAGGGATTTTAATAGGGAGTACTACAATCCCTATTAATGCAGGACTGCTAGAATAAGGGGGAACATCCCAACCTATATATCCCATCCTCATCCCCGAAAGCGAAACACCTTAGACCCCGAGGCGGGCGCTCGCGGGCATGCTGGGCGCGTGGGCGACGGAGGCAAGGGTTTAGGGTTTAGGGTTTAGGGTTTAGGGTTTAGGGTTTAGGGTTTAGGGTTTAGGGTTTTAGGGTTTAGGGTTTTAGGGTTTAGGGTGCTTCGCAGTGAGGGGTTTGTGGCCGGAAGATTAGGGTTTCAGCGTTTTGGGTTCAAGTTTTTTACTAACAGCCCTTAATAAGGATTATGGGAACCCTCTATTAGAAGCCCCATCAAGGACTGTTAGTATCAGAGGGAACATCCCAAGTTTAAGGGCTTTAGGTTTTGGCATTTGGGTTTGGAAGGTTTAGGAGTGCAGGGTTTAAGGATCCAGTCTCTGATCTAGGGTGCCTTCCCACAACATCCCCATTGCAGGAGCGAATTGGTTTGCTCAAGGGTTTTGCTTACTGCACCACGATCTCGAAACTACTACGTCGCCCAAAACCCCTCCACCCAAAACCCTAAACCTCAGCCCTCCCTGCCCCTCCCTTCCTGGCAAGTCGTGAATGATATCACTGTTGTCAGTACGAAGATTACTCCCCAATCCCTAGACGCCCTAAAAACCCTAAAAACCCTGAATCCAAACCCCTGAACCAAACCCTCAACCCTGAACCCTAAGCCACGCCAAACGCCCCTGAACCCTAAACCCCTCTAACACCCCCAACCCTAAATCCTAAACCCTAAACTAACCCAAAAGCCCACTGGCAGAAAGGACCCCTCCGCGCTCAGCGCCTCACGCGAGGCGCGGGAGCTCCAAACGGCGCTGGAGCTCCAGGCGCCATGAGGTGAAGGGTTTAGGGTTTAGTGTTTAGCGTTTCGGGTTTAGAGTTTAGGGTTTGGGGTTTAGGGTTTAGGGGATTCTGGGGGATTCAGGCGTATTCAGGAGGATTCAGGGGATTCAGGGAAATTTTGGCGATCTTCGGGTCTCAGGGGATTCGGGGTTTTTCGGGGATTTGGGGATTAGGGTTTTGGGGATTTGGGAGATATGATTTAGGGGATGTTGAGGAGGTTTGGGGGTTTAGGGGATTTTTTGCTTGCAGGGTTTGGGGTCTGGGGCCCTTTGGGGTCTAGGGGTTTTGGAGTCGTGGGGCTTGGGGTTGCTTGAGGGTTTTACAGGGCTTGGTGGGCTTGAGTTCAGTTTTCGGGTTTTAGAGGTTTAGGGCTTTTTTTTTTTGGTTTTAGGGTGGGTTGTGAATGTAAGACTATCCTGCACACCCTGCCGCAAATTGAGTTTGGTTGTGGCAGTCTTTTGGGTCTCGAGGGTGAGTGGTGAGGAGTTCGGACGGCGCTAGGACCGACTGGATGTGGGATGTCAAGGCTCTGGAGTTTCCTGGTTTAGCACAATTCGGTTCGGGATTTGGGCTTTGGGTTTTTAGGATTTTGTAGGGTTGGGTGAGGGCTTGTGGGAGTTCACGGCTGGGTTTACTTGGGTTTCGGGACCCCACCGCCCCTGTAACCTGCAACCCTATAAACCCTATAAACCGTATAAACCCTATAAACCCTACAAACCCCATAAACCCCATAAACCCTATAAACCCCATAAACCCTATAAACCCTATAAACCCCATAAACCCTATAAACCCTAAACCCCTAAACCGAACGCAGGTGTCGGGCCAGTCGATGGGGGAATCCCCTCACTGGCACGCCATGGAGGCCTGGCATGGACGGACCGCGCCCAAGGGTTTTAGGTTTAGGGTTTAGGGTTTAGGGTTTAGGGTTTAGAGTTTAGGGTTCAGGGTTTAGGGTTCAGGGTTTAGGGTTTAGCGTTTAGGGTTTAGTGTTTAGGGCTTTGGGGTCAAAACACAGGCATGCCCTTAGCCCTTAGACTCTCAGCCCTACATGAGACAAGCTCCCAGCCTTCGAGTTCCATCTGGCAATTTCCTCACAGGTTCTGAGCACGGCCCAGATCTTGGCGGCGGAGGCAGCGTTGGCATCTGCGCCCTCAGGGTGTGGGGCTAACAAAGGGGTTTGCGGCTATAAGGGGTTTAGGGCAACAAGGGGAGAAGAGGTTCATGAGGCTTGAGGGGGTTTTGGCGGAGGTTTAGGGGTTTTAGGGGGTTTAGAGTTTAGGGTTTCGCCCTCAGTTGCGTTCGTGGCATCTTAAGGCAAGTCCGAGTTGCAATAGGGCCTTTGCATGCATCGGAGACCGGTGCTCTTGTTGGGCAGATTTGGGGCTTAGGGTTTTTGGGTTTGGGGCTTGCATTGTGCCTTATACCCTGCAGCCGCCAGCCCATATCCAGGCATCAGCCCAGACAAGCGGTTTTAAAGCTTGACATAGCTGCGCCTGGGCCCCCGCAATGGTTCGTGATGATGGGCCTCCAAAGGGCCGTCCCTCTGTGGAGGCCGTCACCGCAAGCTTTGATGGGGTCAAGGAGGTCTTTGCCTCCATACTGCAGAGGCAGACTGAGCAAAAGGCTCAAGTCGTCGCACTAAAGCAGGCAGCGGCCTTGCAAGATGAGAAGCTGTCAGCGCTCCAAAAAGAGATGCAAGCCCTGAAGCAGCTGATGGCTGCAAAGAAGACGGCAGCCGCACAGAGCCGTCAAAGAACCACAGCTGCCGCAGACACAGCAGCCTCGGCTCGTTGCATGGCGGACGACAGGACGCTTCGCGGAGCTTCGAGTCTCCTGCCCAAGGCAAGTGAGAAAGCAGCCCAAGTGCAAGTTGTCACGGCCGCCGAGCCCAAGAAGGTCTACAGCAACCGCGGTCTCACCTTCAGCCGGGAGTTCCTGCTAAGCATGATCGACGAACCTCAAGACACCGTGGACCACAGAATGATCCCCTGTCTCGAGGAGCTGGGCCGGGAGCTGGGTCGGCCGGCGCGCGTGGAGCCGACCCTCGCGCTGCGCATCGCCCAGCTGCAAAAAAGCAAGTGCGTGCTCATATTCTTGAGACTTAAGCCTGAAAACGCCGTTTTAACAACTATCCCCTTTCCCCTGATACTTCCTCCCTGATTACTATTGAATTTGAACAATTCCAGTGAGTACTTGGTTACTCTTCGACCCGGAACCTTCCCCCCTGAAGCCCTTAACCCTAAAACTTCAGTCCAACATCTCAACAAGAGTATCCCTAAACCCTATCAACCCTACAAACCCTAAGCCTTCTAAACCTACAAGCCCCATAAACCCTGAGCCCTATAAGCCCTAAAGCCCTCATGACTATGGAGCACGAGGGCGTCCCTCGGGTTGATGTTATAAATCCTGGTAGGGCCGTAGGTTAAAGGTTTAGGGTTGAAGAGTTCAGGTCTCAGCAAGGCTTGTGAGTATCCTTCTGCGTGTCCTGGGAATTTGGGTGTTAGAGATGAAGGTTCGCTTTCTTCCCACATCTAAAACCATGAAGCCCACCCCCCCCTCCAAAAAAACAAAAACTGAGAACAAAACCCCTGCAACCCACACCCTAAACCCTAAACCCTAAACCCTAAACCCTAAACCCCAAACCCTAAACCCTAAACCCTAAACCCTAAACCCTAAACCCTAAACCCTAAACCCTAAACCCTAAACCCTAAACCCTAAACCCTAAGCCCTAAGCCCTAAGCCCTAAACCCTACGCAAGGCCGGCAGCACCCTGGATCCGGAGGCGCCAAGACTCCTCGCAGCCGCAGCCCGGCGCTGCCCAGGCGCTTCTGGGGCCAAGGGCCCTTTTAGGGTTTAGGGTTTAGGGTTTAGGGGTTTAGGGGTTTAGGGGTTTAGGGGTTTAGGGGTTTTGGGGTTTTGGGGTTTTGGGGTTTTGGGTTTAGGGTTTAGGGTGGGTCCTTAAACAACCCAATGTTCCATTCTACACAGGGCCTTTTTACGGCTTCGAAGGTATACAGACCCATCCTGGTAGGTGGGTTCCACTGGGGTTCTTTGTCATAGTCGGGCAACATTTTGCATGTTTAAGGGTCTTTAAACTCAATAAGGCATAGAAAGTTAAATTGTTCATACTATCCCAACCATGAACTAGGAAAGGGATTAGGGATTTCAGGGTTTTAGATTTGTTCATTCATGTTGTTTTAAAGGTTTTTTGTTTTTTTCTTCAGGCGGTTTCGATATTTAGGGCTTCACAGAGCTTGCATGGGGCTTGGGAAAGTTACGGGTGGGTTTAGGCGGCTGCACCGAAAAAGTGTTGGAGAAACTAGTTCAAAGACCACCGCAACACCGGTCTTGGTTGATTTTTGACCGCCCTTGCTGCTGCTCTTGGCATATCAGGAGGCAAAAACATAGCCTTTGAAGGGTGGGCGCTCTGTTGCGCACGAAGCCGAGGTTCATGGGTAGCTATTCAGGCTCTACACGGGTCTTAGGTAGGATAAGGATGACTTGCACATGAGTCCTGTCTACACCATCCTCGGAGCTAGGAGATTGGAGCGTCATGTCCTCGTCTTCCTTCCCTAACCTCCCTTCCCTCAACCCCAAAACCTGAAACCCTAAACCCCAAAACCTGAACCCGGATGCTGGGGGCAGAGGCTGCGCCGGCCCCTTGCAGAGCCACTTGGGAAGCAGTGAACAGTTGGTTTCGGGGCAAGTCCTGGCATCTCGGTTGCTTTTCAATGCCGGGCATCGCCGAACAAAGTCCACCAGCAGAAGGTCCTGAAGTTTGTGGAGGGTTTGGGGTTTTGGGTTGGGGGGCTCCAAGGGTAGTTGCATGGGCCCTGAATATGGTCCCTTACCTCGCTTGAAGGGTTCTGAAGTATGGGCCCTTGAGTTGTATAGGGTAGATAAGGGGTATAAGGGGTCCCGTGTTAAGGGCCCATACTCAAAGGGCCATGGAACTGCCTGAGAGCTACAGGCTGCTTCCTTTCTTAGCCGAGGTTCGGTGCCCTACATCCGTTCGAACTCGCGTGAATCTTCCCTCCTCATTGGAATCCCGAGGTCCCAAGACCCGAAGTCGGGTTCAGAAGGCATAGCCAACCTAAGCTCTACCTTCAATCTACCTAAATCTCCCTGCCCCCACCCGCCCCCCCCACCCCCCCCCCCCCCCCAAAAAAAAAAAAAACATGAACAACAAGAAAGAAAGCCTGAAATCCGAAACCGCAGCCACACTTGAGGCCTGGTCCCTGCGCTGCTGCTCAGGGCCAAGGCCGGCTGGTTTAGGTTTTAGGGTTTCAGGTTTAGGGTTCAGGGTTCAGGGTTTCGGGTTTAGGGTTTCGAGTTTAGGGGTTTGGGTGTGCGGGAAGTCGGGGGTGTTGGGGGGGGGGGGGGGGGGGGGCCGAAGTCTAGGGTTTCTGGGGCTTGCTGGTGGCATCGTCTTTTTGTGCAAGGTATGTGGCTCTGGTACTGATGGCATGAACGAATGTTCGGACGAGCTTCAACAGGTACCCGAAATACCAGACCCTGTCATCCCTTAATGAGATCATTTAAAGGCTTGGCCGTGGGGGTCGTAGATCCTGACAGCCATTTCGGGCTGGACTCCCTTTGTGGTGCAAGGGCTTGTTGCCCAACTCCTCAGGTGGAGCCTAAACCCTACACCCTACACCCTAAACCCTAAACCCTAAACCCTAAGCCCTAAACCCTAAACCCTAAACCCTAAACCCTAAACCCTAAACCCTAAACCCTAAACCCTAAACCCTAAACCCTAAACCCTAAACCCTAAACCCTAAACCCAAGCCCCACTTCAGAAGCGCCTTACAACCTCAGACCCAAGGACTTCGAAACCCTAAGCCCTAAAGTTCTCAACACCAAGTCCTGACCTTAATAACCCCAAACCTACTTTTTGCAGGCCATTACTAGAAAACACCCTTATATAATTCCTAGGTAACCTACAAAAAGTAGGTTTTAGGTTTTGGGCGCTTAGGGTAGGGCCTAAACCTTCAAACCCTTCCAACAGCCCAAAACCCATGGAACCCTTAAGCGCTCGAAGCTTTAAGCACGACCATGTGTCCTTATGTACCCGAGACCCAGATAATGTCCTCAAAGAGTTTGGGGTTCCCTAAACCCTAACCCCCAAAGTCCCTAAACCCCTAAACCTCTAACCCCTAAACCCCTAAACCCCTGAACCCCTGAACCCCTAAACCCCTAAACCCTACTAACCCTAAACCCTGCACACACCCGAGGACCTGGTGCAGCAGACCTTTTTGGGGGAGGCGCAGGAGATCCTCCTGCAGGCTGCGGTGCGATCTGTTTCGGGTGGGATGTTTGAAGCTCCGAAGAGGGGTTTAGGGTTTGGGGGTAAGGGGTTAGGGTTTAGGGTTTATACGGTTTATACGGTTTATTGGGTTTATACGGTTTATAGGGTGTGTAGGGTTTATAGGGTTTATAGGGTTAAGGGTTTAGGGAGTTGTTTTTCAGGTCTGGGGTTTAGGGGTTCAGGGATTGCATGTGTGTTTGGGGGGATTGAGGGTAATACTGGAGCCCCAAATAACTACGAATAACTACCTAGATCATCCCACGACAAGCTACCAACAAAAGCTCGAAGGCTGAAGCTTTGCGGTGTGAGAAGTGTGGACTTTCAGTGGAGGGCCCTCGTCGCCCGCCATAGTTCAGGAAACTGTTTTCGGTTCTTGGTTCGCAGAGAGAAGCGCTTTCATAGATGTCACGCAAGTCGATCTGATCTTCAGCCTTGCGCCTTGCACCCGCAACCCTAACGAAACCTTACACCTGAACCTCAAACCCCAACACCCTAAGCCCTAAAGTATCCAAAGTCCCCAAATCCCGACCCACCTTCTGCCCTTCTATGAAATCTCACGTGCACCTGGCCCTCATGCGAATCCGAGAAAGCCTTTCAGCCCCTCACAACAAGCCCTTATAAACCCTCTGTGCAAGCCCCTGAGGCAGGAACCTCAACTCTCATGCGGTCCAAAGTAGGGTTCAGGGTTTAGGGTGTAGGGTTCAGGGTTCAGGGTTCAGGGTTGAGGGTTGAGGGTTTAGGGTTTAGGGTGAGGGGGTTAGGGTTGTATCTCCGTCGCAGGCTGTGTCTTACCTCCACCGCATGGTGCTCATGGGCCACTTGGCTGCGCGCCCCCCCTTATCCCAGGTAACCCCTATCTCAGGCAGATGACCTACGTCCTAAACCCTATAACCTAAACCGCATGGCTTCGAGATTCCATGCTTGAGCCGGTCCGGGTGCGTCTTGCGAATGTGGGACTTTTGGAATCATGGCACTGTTTACCGTTGAGCTCGTGAAATCTTGTCAGCTAAGAAGCTACTCATGGGATTCTGCATTTTTGTGGCCCCTAAATTGGGGTTTAAGAGGGGAATACTTTCCGATGGCGTTGATCGAGGGCCAACTTAGGAGAGCTTTCTCAGCAGCCGGTGCCCAAGGACTCGGCGGGGCGGAAGCTCTCGCATCTGTGACGGGCGATATGCTGCAGGAGGCTGGATGAGGGCTGGATGCCCCCTTCCCTCGCTAGGCCCTTAGGACATTTTATACTTCTCTTTATTGGGTTTAAGAGGATCATATTCAGGAATATTGTTCAGAGGGTTTTAAGGGCCATCCTAGTAACTTAATGTAGCATAACTAACTGCTGGGAGTTTTCGGATGTATGGATGGGGGGGTTGACTTAGAGGGGATTGGGACTTGCTTGTGATGTTGCCTTAAAGAGTGTTTAGGGGGTTTTGAGTGTCTGTACGGTTTGTGTCTAGGGTCCCATGCGTGGAGCCAAAGACGCTGAAGCATTGGTGCTTTCCTGCACTAGTAGCCCAGCCATGATGCACCCTTATTCCCTTGTTGTGGGTTAGCTCCTTAGGGTCGTTACATAATCCCTTGGTATGGGCCCTTGGAAGGTGACCCCCTTATATACCCCTTATATACCCGATACAATATACATGCCCATACATCAGAACCAGTTCGAGGAGGTTAGGGACCATATTCAGGGCCCATGTAACTACCCTCAGATAGCTTCCCTTACAAGCCCCATGAAACAAGAAGGGGTACATGAAACCGCAGGTGGCAGCTGCTGACGAGCACTTCATGCGGAGCTAGACCGATGGAACGCAGGGACGCCTGAGAGGGTGAGGGAGGTATCTCCTCAGTAGCTGAGTGGGCACACTTTACACTTGTTGGGATACTATAGTCTCCGATAGAACTGCAAGTGTACACTTTTCTGGGGCATATGAACTCAGCAACTCAGTCTCAAAAGCCTCACGAACCCTAAACCCTAAACACTAAACCCCAAGTACCTTCAACCCTTAACCCCCAAGTACCTTCAACCCTAAACCCTAAACCCTCCACAGCCCTGAAATCACCCCAAAGCTTGATTTCAGCACACCCCGAAAGCCAGAAAGACTCTAGCTCCGTGAAAGTCGAGACCCCTAAGACCCACCAAAACCTCCATATTCTGACAGCCCGGAGCTCCAGGACCCTGGCGTTGTATTCGGGTCTTTGTGTAGGGTTTAGGGTTTACGGGTTGCTGGAAAGCAACTTATATTAAGTGACCATCGTATGCTTGGGGCGGGCTTGGAGGTTATTTATATCGCTGAGGTTTCGGAAGTAGGATAGGTCGCTGAAGAGCCGCCCAAACCAATGTTGCCGTAAAGGCAGCTAGCGACTTGATTTCTAAGCTTGCGTGGGTTTCATACCTCACGCCTGCAGAAGGTGATGGGCTTTGGGCACTCGCAGAGGGTGATAGGCCTTACTAAGGGTTGTGCCTGCAAGGCCTTAAGCTCAAGGTTTACTTGGGAAGGTGATAGGCCTTAGTAGCCGGTTTAAGGCGGTTGCGCCTGTGCATATTATTAAGAAAAGGGTTTTCCAATCTAGCGCCTGCACAAGGTCTTAAGCGCTTCCATAGGCGCACTCGCAGGTGTAAGGATTGCGAGTGCTTTAGGGCCCCTGGACGCTCAACACCCGCCCACACACACACAAGCAATTCCGGGAGCTGAAGACCCTAAACCCTAAACCCTAAACCTTGGCCCCAAGCTTGCATCCTCCTCTTGTCATCGTTGTTTGTTTTTAGGGTTTAGGGTTTAGGGTTAGGGTTCCCTGACAAAGTAACCACCCCAAGAAAGGGTACCCTTGCTATAAGAAGCTTACCGGGCTACCAAGTTGATTTTAAAGACTTTGGTAGAATACAGTGTCACCACTCATGCTTTGCTTCCTGGAGAAGAGAAGTAATTCCCTAAACCCTAAACCCTAAACCCTAAACCCTAAACCCTACACCCTACACCCTAAACTCTAAACCCTAAACCCTAAACCCTAAACCCTGAACCCTGAACCCTAAACCCTAAACCCTAAACGCCGCCGTCGCCAGCAGCTTCCCTAAGCCGAGGCCCAAGAGGTGACGCGGGGAGCGCTCCCCCACCGCTTTCGACAAGACTCTCCGCAGAAGGCGCGCTCCAATTTTGTTTAGGGTTTAGGGTTTAGGGTTTAGGGTTTAGGGTTTAGGGTTTAGGGTTTAGGGTTTGGGGTTTGGGGTTTGGGGTTTGGGGTTTAGGGTTTCCAAACGTTTCAAGTCAATTGGCTGCTTAAGACCCAAAGACCCAATGCAATCTATAGGGATAAGTCTCATGGGGCCGCTCAGGACTCTCTTCAACAGCAGGACAAAGCTAGGGCTCTCTTAGGCGCAAATGTGGTTCACTAGGGCTTTTCTTCTTGAGTCGAGAACATAGAAAACCGGACCATGCCAAGAAGGGCTCTGGTACACATAAACGCAAAAGCCAAGAGCTGCATCTGAACCCCTACTATAAACCTTGTAGCTTGTGGGCTTTGATTGAACTTGCATGCCTTGACGTGAAGATCACACATAGGCAGCTTACTCTTGAACTGCCCTTGCCAAGCTTGTGCACATTTACGGAAGTCGATGTGCAGGCATGCCAAACTCAGATTGAAACCTGTGCCCGAAGCTGGAGTTGAACCATGTCAACAGGGGTAGGTTTGAACATGTTTTCTGTTTTTTGTGTTACCCTTCATCCCCTATATATTCCTTATAAAGCCATAACAGTTTAATTATGTTTATAGGCGCCCCCCCCCCCAACCTACCTTGGGCAGGCGGATGTCAGAAGCAGCTCGTTGGCCCCAAAGTCCGGGTCCGCCTCGTAGGCGCTGCGCAGCATTGGTTCAGCAAGCACAAAAGAACCGGCGCAGCTCCGAGTAAGGCGAGTGCAATCAGGATTCCCCCAAGTGTTCAAAAGCCCCAATCACCCTAAACCCTAAACCCTAAACCCCAAACCCGAAAGCCATAGTAGACTGCCGAATGTGGAGAGACTCAGCACTCCCACATCTTTCAGCCACAGCCCACCCTGAGAACGACAAAGCAGAGTCCTGGGCCTAAATCTGTATCTTCAAGAATGTTCCTTCGGGAACTCTTTAGTGAAAACCCTAAACCCTAAACCCTATACACCAGAGCGCTAAGCTTCCGGAGGTCCACAGTTCGAAGGCATTATGAAGAAACCCGACGTGCAAGGATGCCGCATCTAAACCTGCAGCTTTGTACGACATATACCTCCTGCAACCGCATCCCCCCCCCCCCCCCCACACTTTGCAATCCAGCCTGGTGAAGGGATGCGTAGCTCTGGCGTCCTTCCATCCCGAACGACCCCAAATCTTATGAAGCCCTGTGCAGTCCTCCCAACATCCTGCAGGAGGTACGCCCTACGAATCAAAAGTGTGCTTCTGATGGCTCTGAGGCTAGAAGCACGATAGCCCTCAGGGACTGGTAGAAATAAACGGTGAACGGTGAACCTTTGTTGGTCTAGGGTAAATTCAGCCCCTAAAGAGCCTAAAGTACGCGTCACTGAGCTTAACTAAAGCACACCCGGTCATGAAGACTAGGCACTCTCAATGACTCTCAATGCCAGATCTTGGTAGCACAATCGACTGTCACCCTTATACTCCACTGCATAAGACATCATCACCAGCGACACGAGGATCTGTGAGGATTGCGCCTCGGCTTTGGTGGTTTGGCCATGGCAGTCGTCAAGGTCGAACACTCAGGTCTACCTGAGCATCAGGTGGGCATCATGCAGCAGTTCCGTGAGTTCTGGATGGAAGGCCACTTCTGCGATCTGACCGTGAAGAGTCGCGAAGGCACGGAGCACCGCGCCCACGCAGGCGTGCTGTCGGCCGCCGGCAAGTTCTTCAAAACTCTGCTGTGTGGATCGTTTCTTGAGGCAGATCAGGTGAAACATGGGCAGCCTGTGCAAATCAATGCTTCTGATGCAGCTCTCAGAGCTTTGCTGGAATACATCTATGGCGGGCAGCCTGATTTGCCTGTGGAGGAGTCCATTGAGCTGTTGCGATTGGCAGGAGCCTACGAGCTGCCAAAGTTAGCCAAGGATGTCGAGGCAGGCATTCGTGCATCTCTGAAGACACATCCCGTTCCTTCAAGCCTTAGAGTTCTACAGGAAACCCACGGATTGCATGATTTGAAGGCTGCCTGTGAGGAGGCGGTTGCCACAAACTTCGAGGTCTGCGCTCAGCACCCTGACTTTCTGAGGCTAAGTGCTGTTCAGCTGGCACAGATCCTGGAAAGAGACGATTTGAAAGTTTCGCGGGAGGAAGTCGTGCTGAAGGGTATCTTCACTTGGTTCAACTCCTGCAAGGACAGGGGTGATGATGTTCTGGGGCTGCTCCTACGAGATGTCGATTTTCAATCCATCTCTTTTGAGAACTTGCATCAACTTAGCCGACTTGCCTCGTCCTTTGGCCCAAATGGAGACTTCCTGCAGCGACGCGTCACCAAGCCATGCAAGCAAATAGGAAACGAATCCAGGCAGAAGCTTCAGATGGTTTTCGCCCGAAGCGGCGTTGCCTTCAACACTGGTCGCCGTACATGGGTTCTAGCTCAGGAGGCGCAAGGAAAGTGTTACCCCGACCCAGTGACTCACTCTGCTGGCATCAAGGTGTTTTTGTACGCGCAGATTTCGCCAGCAGTGTCCTTTGCTGGAAGCCCGGCGATGGTGATCCCCGAGTGGTTGCAGGCACAGGTGCTAGTGTAGCTGGTTTTCAACGAGCTATCCGACATATCCGAGTGTCTGTGTCACCAGAAGGGGAAATTGTTGTTGCCGATCGTAGCACGATAGTCTCATCAGTTTTCTAAGCGGAGTTGGCAGGGTGTTGGTTGAGGAGTTTGAGGGCTTGGTGGATGTGTCCTGTTCACCCAAACGGAGTGGTCTACGTCTTGGACTGCGACCGGCCTCAGAGTGCAGAAGTTGGTTGGGTCCAATCTCCAGCCAGTGATTGCCAGCGAAAGATGTTTCTGAGGAGATGCAATTTCAGGCCGCGAGCGTTTATCACCCGGGAAGAGATTCTCTACCTCAGTGATTCCCACCAAGGGCGCATTTTGCGCATCAAGCCGGGGGAGGCGAATCCCACGGTCGCCGGACAGCTTCCAGACGACGAGCCTTCTGACCCTTCAGGGCTGTTCGTTACAGAAGAAGACGATTTACGTTTCCGATTGTCGCTGCCACAAGGTGTGGGTTTGTCACTCGCATGACACGACTTGCACTGAAGTCTTAGAGTGTCCCGATGGCTTACGACCTGGGGCCATTCTGGTTCAGGATCGTTCGTTATATGTGAGCATGTACAAAAACATCGTTGAAGATGACTCCTGGGAAGGAGCTGTTTATGAGTACTTCCTGCCCCCAGACCTGCAGCTGAAGTGAAAATTAGTTGCTTCTTCCACGTGGCCTTTGTATAGGCCGCGAATGCTTTCTCTTCTGCCTATGTCAGGCGCACGCCTTACATCTGCCCAACTGGAAAGAGGCATTAGGGTACCCTCAAATAGTTGGGGTGGGTGGGTAGCGGTTGGGTGGTAAGAAGGGTAGCGATCATAACATCATGTGGACTTCTATGGGTTTACAGGACTTCAGGAATGTAGCTATTTGCTGCCCCCAAGTTGTTCTAGGTACCTAGGGTTTAGAATCATGTAAGTTGTTGGCGACAGGGCGCCCAGACAGCCGACATCGCAGAATGTGCGTGCGGCCTTGCATCCTAGCACAGTCGAGGTGTGTTTATCAGCTAGAGGTATTATTATAAGGGAATCCTACCTGTGGGTTCCCCCTTATTTTCGTAAACCCCCGTTTGTATTTGTGGTCCCGATGGTAAGGTGTTTTGGGTTTTGAGGATCTTCTTTCGGAAATGCCCATGCCTTCTTCTGGCAATCCGGACCTTTCTCGCATTTTAGATTTTTCAGGGTACTTAAACCCAATAAGGCTTCAATCAGGAATGGACTTTTTTTTTGTATTCTCCCGGGACCCGATGCCCAGCCGTGCCAGCTCTTGCAGCGCTGCAGCGCCACTGCCGACGTTCCAGCGCCAGCTGCGGGAAGTCCACAGCAGCATAGGTACTTCTCTGTATTAGGCACCCTTTTTTGGAGAGTCCCATTATATATATATATGTACATATATATATATATGTAGTATGGTCTCCTTATTGAAAAGGACCCCCAAAAAGGGACCCTAAAATAGAGAACTACCCTCATGACCCCCAAAGCCGGACTGCCCAAAAAGGCTCGGCTCCTGAAGGCCTTGTGATATGTTAGTCCCTTTGGGTTTTAGGGTTTAGGGTTTAGGGTCTAGGGCTTTTTGTAGCAGTGGAGCAATACACCGCCCTCGTAAACGTAGTGCCGTTGCCCAGATCTACGCCCACGTGGTTTCAAAACAACACCCAAACCCCCCCCCCCCCCCCCCCCAAATCCCCAAACCCGATGCTTAAGCCCTTAAAAGGGTTCAGACTTCTGCGTTGTCACTTTTCACGGGTTTAGGGTTGAGAGGTGAATGTAGGGGATAGTTGGGGTTGAGGGCTTAGGGTTTGGGATTTACTGCAGGTAGTTCTCTGTACTGCACTGCTGTAAATTCTTTTTCAGATGCCTGGGCTGCAACCCACGGCCCTGATTTCCGGTTGTTTGGAGCTACGCTAGAAAACACGCAGCCCTGCATATTGCAACTTTCCCGAGTTATCCTTGTGCAGTTGCCTCGGTTTTCTCCAATTTTGCCGGCTTCGGATGAAGTAACAGGTCTTGTGCTACAAGGTAGTGTACGAATTGTACGTCAGCTTGTCTTTTCGCGCGTATGGTTGGGTGTGTATACAATTGTATGTGCTGCAGCACGAGTTGCGTCCACCCTTCACTACAGCAGATGTTCCTTCTTCCTGGCTGCCTGATGACCCTTACTCGATGTCGCCATCAAGCTTCAGGGCGCCGGCGCGCGCAGCACTGACCTACTTTTCATGAGGAATGCGATTTTACTTATTTCCACGAGAGAGCATCGGAAGTCAAGATGGATCTCAGTCTCAACACAAAGTAAGACCCCTCGATCTTGAAGCATCATCACACGCGGATGAGTGACAAAGCAGTGTCGTCTCTTGAGGGAAGCATCAACTAGCCCTTGGATGAAGCACGAAGCCGAGAGACTCAGGAGCTGTAGCGTGCCAGCCCACCTCCAACACCTCCTTGATGTGTGAATGTGGGGCTTTCGATCTGAAGGGTTTAGGGTTTACGGTTTAGAGTTCCATGCTTTACCGAAGACTGCTGGGTTTAGGCTTCGTAGCTTCCTGAAGCCCCGAACCTTAGCCCGAGTTTCGCCACCCCCGGATACCAATCTGCCATGGCTGCCCGGGGGAAGGCTTGAACTCAGGCCGGGTTCCCAACAGGATGCTCGAAAGTCATGGCGGGTTGTTCTTTAGGTCAGGAGCCAAGTGGACGCCTAGCCAGTTTATCGCTGAAGCTACCCCTCGTATCGTCCTTGTTACAGTTAAGTGTAGCTGCAACCCAAACCTCAAAATCAGAAGAGGAAAGCCCCCTAAATTCAACTCATACGACAGAAACCGAACAGCACTTGATGTTGGACACCCTGAACCCCACAGCCCCAAGCAAAGTGCCCTAAACCACCCTAAGATCCTCCGAGTGGCCCCCTACATTTTGGCGCTTGGGGTGCAGGGTTAGACTTAGACCCTCAACCCCCAGACATCACGCCGAAAGAAGGCAAGGAGGCTGGAGTTCCACTTCTCGATGGTTTTTGCAGTGGCAAGGTTCCTTTTTCATCCACACCCGGCACGCAGGGTACACTTCTCTCCATAAAGCCCTTGGGCTATTCTAGATCATATTTCGGAGTCTTGTTCAAAGGGCCAACCAAGATGTTTGATTCCTAGGTTTCCGGGGAATTGGGATGATTCATCAGGTTTGTGGGATGCTCCCCATTCACAATTGTCCTAGAAGCCTGGTTGTACCTTAAGTTGTATATCAAAGTTGTGGAAGTCGATTTTTCCCTAAGCCCGAATATGTAGGGTGCTGTCAAAGTGAAGAACTGTGTATATCCAGCGGGTTTTGGGCTTATCAGATCTTAGTGGTTTCAGGGTTTGATTGCTGGCAAATGGTGTCCTACGGCCACCCTTTAGCCGCTTTATGAGTGCCTTGAAAAACTATTTTTTTTCCAACATACGGCCTCTTCCGGGGAAAAGCTTGTTTCCCCCCACCGGCTGCAAAAAAAGTGGCCACTAGGATTGCCAGGTAAACCCTAAACCCCAAACCCCAAACCCTAAACCCCAAAGCCTAAACCCTGAACCCTGAACCCTGAACCCAACACCAATAGTTTCACCTCCAGGGGCCGAGAAAGCCGCCAATGGATCGATGACGACCCTCGCGGACCTCTCGGCCAACGTTTGGAAGGCCGGACTTTCGGGCACTGGGTTTAGGGTTGAGGGTTCAGGGTTGAGGGTTTAGGGTTTATGGGTTTAGGGTTTTGGGATTGGGGTTTAGGGTTTCGGCTTTAGGGCGGATTTTGAATCCTACTGATCAGGCAGCTGGGAGTTTAGGGTGTTCAAGATCGAGGGTATACTAAGCCCTGCCTTCGCTGCCTGCACAAGGCCTCATGGAATTTACTTAGTGTTCGGGCATGTTACCCTAAATCAACCCCGAAACTCCAACAAACCCCGTAAGCCCTACAAACCCCAACAAGCCCGAAGGCCTAACAAGCCCTTTCGGCCCGAAATACTCAACCTTAAAAAACCCTGTAGGCCCTAAATTCTATAAGCCCTGTAAGACCCTAAATTCTATAAACCCTGGAGGCCCTAAATTCTATCAACCCTGTAGGCCCTAAATTCAAAAAACCCTGTAAGATCCTAAATTCTCTAAACCCTGTAGGCCCTAAATTCTATAAACCCTGTAGGCCCTAAATTCTGTAAACCCTATAAGAAGCCCTGAGCAACCGTTAACAAACCCCAAAAGCTCGAAGATGCATCCCCACCACACCGATGATGCACGACCCTAAACCCTAAACCCTAAACCCTAAGAAAGGAAAGAACAATGAACGCAAAACCTCCGTCGAGGCCGGGCCGACGCTGGATCACTCAACCTACCAGTGGCCCCAGGGTATAGGGCTTTAGGGGTAGGGTTTAGGGTTTAGGGTTTGGGGTTTGGGGTTTAGGGTTTAGGGTTTAGGGTTTAGGGTTTAGGCCCCCAGAGCTTTCTTTGGATGTGTTTTTGCTTCGGTCGCTGGGGATACAGCTGGCTTTGCAGGTTGTAGGGACGCCCAGGACTTGGAGGAAGCGTGCTCGAGGGCAAGAGGAGGGGCTTGTTGGACGTACTAGGGCTTTAGTGTTGTCTTCTTCAGGGTTTATGCCGATTGCGGTTATACGTCTAGGGGTCTTGACTTAGTGATTCTTTTCGTAGGGCGTAGGGTATCTATAGGTGCCTACGCCAACCCCTAAACCCCAAACCCTAACTGCTTGGGCCCAAAAGCCGCTAACCCTAAACCCTAAACCCTAAATCCTAAACCCTAAGCCCTAACCCTGAACCCTAAACCCAATGAGATGCTGAGAAGGTACTACATCCAGCTGAAGTTCGGCGGTGCCTCGTGGGAAGTCCGCTCCTGAGGCCCTGTCCAGCTCACCATACCGGGAGCCATGCGACTCAGGGGTGAAGATAGGGGTCGGTATGATTTCTAATAGTATTCCTTTATGGTCCCGGTATAATTATACCATAATAACCCCCCAAAACCTGATTCTAATCATTCAGGCCCCTATATTACGGTTCCGGGCTTTGGGCTGAAGGTTGAGGTGTTTAGGCTTTGGGGTTTTGAGGTTTTGGGTTGCCACAACATCCCCGAACTCACCCTGAAGCCGAACATATTTTTGTCCAAGCCGACTAATTAAGAGATCGTCTTTGGAGTCTCTATACGACAAAGTATGCTATGTTTGGGCGTGTAACGAGGGCCCCTAAGAATACCACAACACACCCAACACACTGAAAATGAAGGCTTGAGCCATGCTAAAAGTCGCAGCCACCAGCTGCAAAATGCACCACCACTTAAAGCCCTCACAAACGACAACCCTCAGCCAGTTCGCACAAAGGTCGCGAAGCGCTTCAGCGACTTTGACACGCTGCGCCTGTGCTGCACGTAGAGTTTGTCTTATTCACATTCATATTCTCGTTCTTCTTATGCACATTTTTGGTTGTCGTCATTTGTTAGACAATTTTGTTGGGGAGGAGGCATCCTTGTCTTCTGGGTTGCTGAAGGTTGTTGGAGAGCACTGCAAGTAGCAGCGAGCTTCCTATGCTTTCGGGGCTTGAGAGCACCAAAACGCGGAGCTTGAAGCCAACAGCCACGAAAGCACCGCAACCACAAGCCTACAACCTTGCTGGTTCTCATTCGGGCTTCAGGGTGCTTTCATACCCCCTTATAGTATCATATGCTCCAGAGACATACAAGGTCCCTTCTTCGCCCCTACTAAAAAACGCAACTTCAACTCTAAACCCTGAAAACCCTCAATCCTTAAACCCCGAGCCCTCAACCCTACGTCCCTAAACCCTCAATCCCGAAACCCAACAACCCTCAACTCTCAACCCCCTAATACTAAACCCCAAAACCCTAAACCCCAAACCCCAAGCCCCGAACCCTCAACCTTCAACCTTAAACACCGAACCCTAAACCCCAGGACCCTAAACCCTAAACCCTAAACCCTAACCCCTAAACCCTAAACCCTAAACTCTACTGATCCCAACAAAAACTCCCTCGACTCGCGAGGCTTCAGAGCCTGGCCAGCAGTCGCTATGGCGGCTTGCCGGGGGCCTCGAGGGGTTTGGGAAATTGGTGGGTTTGGGGGGTTGGGGTTTAGGGTTTAGGGGTTAGGGGTTTAGGGTTTTTGGGGTTTGGGGTTGAGGGATGAGGGTCGTCAGGGGTCCAGGATCTGGGGGCAAAGAGTTTGAGATGGCTTAGGGTTTGGGGCCTTAATGCGCCTTCAAGCAGAACCCCAAATTTGACTAAACCCCTAAACTCTAAGCCCAACCCCCCAACCCACCCTAAAACCCTACAACCCCAAACCCGAAATCCCAAACCCTAAACCCCTTTAACCCTAAAAACCCCTAAAACCCCAGGTAACGACCCCTTAACCCTAAAACCCCTAAGACCCGAAGCGCCGCAGTTTCCTCCGAGGCCGAAGTTGCCAGCCAAGACCCTGCTTGGAGCACCGACAGACCAGGCGTCCATCCCGCCTTGGAGGTTAGGAGGTTTAGAGGGTTGTAGGTTTAGAGGCTTAGGTTTAGGGTTTAGTGTCTAGGGTTTAGGGCTTAGGGTTCCCAATAAAGGGGGGGGGGGGGGGGAGGGAAGGGGGGTGGTTTTAGGGTTTAGGGTTTAGGGTTTTGAGGTTGAGGGGTTAGGGTTTTTTGGGGGTTTTTCTTGCGGTTTAGGATTCAGGGTTTAGGGTTCTTTGAGGCTTAGGGCTGAGATTTTTTGGGGAGCTTTAGAGCTTTCGGGGTCCAACTGTCGAGGTTTAAGGTTTCGGAGCTAGGGGTTGAAGGCATTGCAGGTTTTAGGGGCCGGGGCTTTTGCTGTGAAGGAGCTGGGGGTATGCACGGCCGGACGCCAAATTCCGCTACATATCTTTGCAAGAGCTAACGATCTCTGACGATTGTGGGCCCCTGTGACTGTGTGATGGCAATGAGAGCCCGGCCATGGGCGCCCTAAACCTTTTTGCTCAGGGCAGGGGAGCCTTGTTGCGTTAGCTTGGAGGTCAAGGTTTAAGTGCAATTGTCTAGGGTTCAAGGATTCAACTTGCAAGGCTTTATGGGTAGTTGTAGGTTAGAAGTACCCCAAGAAAGGTCCTATTGCAATTCTCGCAGCTTCATGGTTTTGGTGTCCAGGGTCGGGGGTGGCTGGGGAGGAGTTCATCAAAGTCATTGCATGCGTGGAAGTCAGAGATTGACAGAGATCCGGAGATCCTAGCTGCAATGGCACTTTTGGAAGCTATTTCGTGTTGTGTGCCTATAAGGTTCAGGGTTTAGGGTTTAGGGTTCGCATGCATTTGGACAGTTTTTCATGAAAAGAAATGGCATGGTAGACCTCGGCAATCTCGCATCTATTCACGGCCCAGGCGGCCATAGACGCGCGAAAGGAACAGTGGGGCGCCCAAACCATGTCGAAAAACAACTTGTGATTTTGCTCAAGTCAAAATTCATGGATAGTTATTCCTTCGGTATCTCAGACAATGGTTTCTACAAGTACAAATGGGCACAGTTAGATTACAAGATGACCCGTAACCCAACCTGTAACTACCCATGAGTCGAAGTTTGGGGTTTAAATACATTTGCAGGTTTCGGCTGCATGGCACGTGATGGCTCCTTATAGGTTCAAGGCTTAGGGCACTCTGCTTTTTGAGTCCATCTTCCGCTTGGAACCCTACACCCTAAACCCTAAACCCTAAACCCTAAATCCTAAACCCTAAACCCTAAACCGCAAGGCTTTGTGTGAGGGGCAAGCCTAACCCCTAGTTTGGGGTTTAGGGGTTTCAGGGTCCAAGGTTTCAGGGTTTCAGGGTTTAGCGGTTTGCGCTTCGAGGTTTAGGGCTTGGAGTGGGGAGTTTGGGAGTTCGGGTTGAAGATTGAGCTTGGGTGCGAATTAAACCGAACATACACCTCCTTAGACCCTTAAATCCCCCCAAGGAATCATGGCCCGTAGTTTTCCCCAAGAAGGGGTGCACAGGCGATCATTGTGCGCCGTGTTTTGGAGGTTTGTGGGTAGTTGTGGGTACGCCACATTTGGCCGGGCTTCTGAACAAGCTACAAGGGACGCGGTTGTTGACACGTTGGCGATTGTTGATATGGCGCCCAGAAGCAAGGTGCGCGAAGGCAAGGTTGATTCATGAAGGTTTTGGGTTTAGGGCTTGGGGTTTAGCATTTAGGGTTTAGGGTTTCAGGAGTTTGTCACGGGTGGGCTTCCTCGGCAAGAAGAAAGAAGAAAAGCACGTCATGACACCAACAAGGACACTGAGGACCACATCGAGCTTAGAGATGACGGGGGTAAATCCAGTTTTTCCAGCAGTGCGTGGACACTTGGACGGATGAAGCAGTTTTGACACCCCCGGCCATGGTGCAGTTGAAGGTTCTCGCCGACGAGAAAGGCTTCTTCTGCGTCTTGACTCCGCTACAACAGCCTCGTTGAAGTCCTACTTAGGTTAGAACCCTACACCCTAAACCCTAAACCCTCAACCCTCAACCCTAAACCCTAAACCCTAGACCCTAAACAGCCAGTTCTTACTCAAGGGTTAGCCTTGGGGTTGCCAAGGCTGCGGATCATTCTGCAGGATTTGCTGCTGAGGCCGCACCCTCAGCCACCCACAGGGTTTCTTTGGTCTAGGGCTTTAGGGATTTAAGGCTCTAAGTTTTATAGTGCTTGGTTTTCCTTTGTTTCTTTTTCGGACTAGGGATTTAAGGCTCTAAGTTTTATAGTGCTTGGTTTTCTTTTGTTTCTTTTCGGACTCAGTCTTGTAGTGCTTGGGTTTCCTTTGCTTGCTTGCTTGTTTGTTTCTTTTTTTGTGTGTTTCTTTGTTTGTTTCTTTGTTTGTTTTTGGGTTTGTGTTTCAGGGTCTGGAGGGATTTGTTTTAAAGGCTGCTCGCCGACTCCGTGACTTGAAGCCCTAAGACCGGAGCCTAAGAATCCCTACTTGCGAACCCCAGGGCCTTGCTACTAGTTGCTTGAGAACCCCACAACAACATTTAGGGTTTTCGAGTTTCAGGGTTTTGGGTTTGGGGCATGGGTGGGGCCCGAAGACCCAGAAATACCCCCCCCCCCCCTCCCAAGCAGGCCGGACACTCGAACAAGCCGGGCACCCAGATTTAGCGTTTGGCCGCCTTTGGGATCTGAGGCTCAGAGTTTAGGGCCTTTAGGGTTTAGGGCTCAGAGTTTAGGGCCTTCGGGGTTTAGCGTTTGGAGTGGGGTTTGAGGTTTAGAGTTTAGCAGAGTTTCGGGTTTAGGGGGGTAAGGTTGAGGAAGGGCTCAGCTGCACCCTCTGCACTCATGAGTCGTGGGGCTGTTGGTCTCCAAGGGGTAGAGACAACTTCGGAGTTTGTAGGGGTTTTCAGGCAAGCCCCCTCAAACGAAAACCCTGAACCCCGAAACTTCCAGGGCTTGCGATGAGCGTCAGGCGTTTTTCTTCCGGGGCTGTAAACCCTAAACCCTATAGGCCCTGAACCCTGAACCCGAAACCCGAAACCCTAAACCCTAAATTCTCAACCCTAAACCCTAAACCCTAAACCCCACACCCCAGCCAGTGCTGCAAAGGCCCGGCGTTAAAGGCCTTCCTGGAGATCGCCGGACATGTGGAAGAGGAGATCAGGCGCGGACAATGTTAACGGCACCCGAGGAAGTAGCCCTAAACCCTAAATAACTCCTAAGGGTTAAATCCCTAAACCCCTACACCCCTAAACCCCTAAGGCCCTCAACCCCTAAACCCCTAAACCCCTAAACCCCTAAACCCCTAAACCCTCCGAAGTTCCAGGCAAGTGCAGCCTACGCCCATCCGCACCTTCGAGGACCCGGATCCCGATCAGCCTCAAAATCCTAAACCCTATACACCCTGAAACCCTAAACCCTAAACCCTAAACAGTGCGAAGCTTCCTTAGGGACCCAAGTTTGGCACAGCTACTTCGCGGGTCATCCCACCGCCAGGATCCACGTTTCGGCGCCGGGTAGCCCAGGATGTTGAAGTTTAGATTGTAGGGTTTAGGGTTTAGGGGGGTGGGCAAGGTTCAGGGATTGGGGTGTAGGGTTTTGGGTTGCTTGCTTTGTTTTAGAGTGGCGCTGGGGCCTACAATACAAAGGAGACCATAAAGTATCAAACGACATCAGACGCTTGCCCAGGTCTCGGGCATCTGCATCGCTCCTGAGCAAAGCTTGGTTCTGGCGCGGCCCTGAGATCGTGAGCATGCCTATCTATCTAGCTGTCTATTTACTTATCTATCTATCTATCTATCTATCTATCTAGCTGTATGTATCTCTGCGTGCGCATGTGTATGCGCATGTGTAAGTAGATATGTAGACACATTCTAAATATATATATATATACATATATAAAATATGTGTGTGTGTGTGTGTGCGTGTGCATGTCCGTGTGCGCGTGCGTGCGTGTGTTCTTGAATGTTCCCCTTCTATTGTGTCCGAGAAGTATTAACATTAAGAGCGACGGTGGAGGAGAACCTTAATCCCCAGACCCTCAACACCAAACTAGAGCCATGAGGTCACCCACGAGGACTGCCGGCAGGGTTCGAGGTTCCCATCTGTTAATGACCCTTTAAGTACCCCTGCCCCCCTTGCCGCCACCCCACCCAAATCAGGCTGAGCCGAACAAGGATAACACCAGGCATAGCTACAGCTTCCCTACTGAGAACACCCCTTGTTGCTACTCATGAACCTCCAAGTGGTTTCTAACAGGTTCTTACCTTGCCTTCAAGTACAAGCCTACGCTGCTTGCAAGGTGAATGCAAAATAAGTTGTCTTTGTGAATACAGGTTTGGTCTCTCTGTCGGACAGGTTTGCGGGTTTTATCCTGAAAACTTAACCCTCTGAGCCCCAGACTGTAGAAATCCCACATCCATGCGGCAGCAGCTTCTCCGAATGATTCAGGTCCTTCGAGAACATCCTGCCCCAAGCCAGCGCCCCACAAGCCCAACCATGGCCCCTATCATCACAGCTCTCTCATTGCCCATGAAGCTCCAGATAGGGGGCGGACAGGGGCCTTGCTCTACAAGTACTCCATCTTCTGGCTACAAACAGCACTCATCCGGTACATACCGGAACCTGAGCTTTATCTACTGACCCCTGCATGCAAAGACCCATGTTCCCTTCTACTGCTGGTTCGGCTGCAAGTGGGCACGGACGAAGATCGCCCGAAAGGCCCTAAACCCTATATCCCTTCAACCCGAAACCCTAAACCTTAAACCCTAAACCCTAAACCCTAACCGTAAACCTTAAATCCTGAACCCTAAGCCCTATACCTTAAACCATAAACCATAAACCTTAAATCCTAAACTCCCAAAAGCCAAGAGCCTCGAAGATTGGAGGACTCGACACACCTCTCTCGCTTGGGGCGGGTTTGGCCAGGGCCTCTTCTGGGTTCAGGTTTTTACTGTTGGGGTTTCGGGGTTTCGGGGTTTAGGGTTCAGGTGGTTAGATCTGTGCGGTTGTTACGAGAGAGACGCTGGTTCAGGCTTGAAAGTGGGACGGTCAAGTTGCAAAACCCCGCAAATCCTTTTTGGACTTGAGTTGTAGTAGGGAATTGAGCGCGGTTTACAGCACGCAAGAGCACAGCACTTTTTAGTTTAGGGAAACATGTCTTAAGTTATAATCGGCGGCTTCATGTGAATAAAGTCACGTTACACTACATTGGTTGGAGTGTCTGAGTACCACGCTACAAGCACGGGTAGCCAGTGCAGATTCAATAGGCAGGGACCCGGATGCGCTGCAGTACCCTTAGTCCCTTTCCCCTCTCTGGAACCCATAAGCAAATCCTTCTTCGTTGGCTAGCGAATAAAAGTATCTAAAGAAGACCAGAAGGGACAGGGTTTCGGATTTCGAGCTTAGGGAGCAACAATCATTGCGAAGCAAACGCGCGCTGGTTTAGGGTTGAGGGTTGCTCATGTATGCTGGCGGGAAGCTATGTCTTCAAACAGCTTACGCCTCCTATCATGCGCATCGTGAGCCGCACTCATGCCTACAACCTAAACCCGAATAGCTCCAAAGCCTCAGCTGTTCCGAATTGCGTGGGGTCCTGCTCATAACCCTAAGCCTAAACCCTAAACCCTAAACCCCAAAACCGCAAAGTCCCTGAATCCTTCAAATGACTTGTCTAAGCATGGCCCGAACTTAGGGAGCATGATCTAAGGCACTGCTGAGGGTGAGTTTAGGGCTTAGGGTTTAGGGTTTAGGGTTTAGGGCTTTACGTGCTTAGAGGACGCTACTTGAAGAGGTCTCCGGAAGGGTTGTGTTCGTGGGATAGGATCGGCCCTTCGTGCAGCATCGCGTCGGAAGTTTTCTTGGCCCGAAAGCCCTCGGCGCGGGCTGGAGCTCATAGAGGTGCCATGGCCACTGTGACGAGCCTTCTGCTGCTCTTCAATTTGCTGCCCCTCCATTTCGCGCCAAGTGCCTAGAACGCACCATGGGCACCCTCAACCGCTGTACAATCTCTTCCCTTCCCTCAACCATAGACCTTGAACTTCTGAACAGCAAAAGCCCCGAAAGCCTAAACCATGCAAATCCCCATTTTGAGCACGCACATATGTGAATCGACACCCTAAACCTTGAAAAATGAAGCCTTAAAGCCCATCAAATCCCTCACTTAGCTTAAATACACCAGATAGGGGGCATCGCAGAGCTTTGAAACGTGTTGCCGAAGGACTGCTTGGCCCACTCGAAGCAGAGTTAAAGGCTAAGACAAGACCCTAGACCGGTTCCAGTTGCTCAAACTCAGGGGCTACTTCATCTCCAAAATCGGAACCCTAAACCCTAAACCCGAAACCGTAAGCCCAAAGCCCGAAGCCCCGGACCGCGTGACTCTGGCTTGTGGCTCCCTTGGAAAATCAGGCCTTCAAGGGCTCCCACCCTCCCCAATCAAAACAAAAAACATCAAAACATCAATTTACCCGCAGGGGTTTGAGGGCTCAGGGTTCTTGACGTATCATTATGACTATCCTCTGGCCTTTCTTCGGGGAACTCGCACGTTTACAAAGGTATCCACCATAGTCCTCAGCACCGCTGCAGCCATGGTCTTTGGCCACCTACGCGGCTGCGCGCAGGCGCGCGCGCCCGGCCGCGCGGCGCGCGGCGGCTGCGGGACGCCACTTTGGGCCAAGAGGAGCCTGGCAGAAGGCCTCGCAGTTCCCGGGTTGCTGCAAGTTGTCATGTTGTTACTGTGATAAGATGGGCATAATTCTTGTAGTAGATGATGTGGTTTTCTAAGTAAGGTATGAACTGTAAACGCTGCGCGCCGGCCGCCAAAATCTACAAAGCCCAGTCAAGCTTTGTCTGCAGTTTCCCCTATAAGGGTCCATGTACCTAATTAAAAGCGACTTGGGCTTTGAAGTGGTTCCTACATTCCTACATCTTGACTTTGGGGCCCGTTGTTTTGTATAATTTATACATATATTGCTGTTATGGATACTTATATTAAGTTATACCAGGTTCTGGTGCAGCTCATCCCAGCAGACTTGGGACAGCTTCCGGCTGTTGCTCTGGGCCACGAGTACACCTGCGCGGTGGATGGGGATGGAAAGCTGGTGTGCTTTGGATTCCTTAGCAGCGAGCAGGCCGCAGCCGAAGTGCCCGGCAGTTTAGGCTCGGTCCTTGCGGTTGCCGCCGGCCCACAGCATGCTTGCGCGGTGCGGTCGAACGGGCATCTCGTCTGCTTCGGACGTAACAATCGTGGGCAATGCGACGTGCCACGCGACTTGGGGCCTGTTCTGGCAGTAGCTGCTGGCGACGATTTCACCTGCGCCGTGAGGGCAAGTGGAGAATTGGTTTGTTTTGGCGATAGCGCCTTCGGGAAGTGCAATGTGCCGGAGGACTTGGGGCCGGTGCTTGCCGTTTCTGCAGGCGCTGAGCACACCTGCGCAGTCAGAACCTCGGTCGGACCTTGGATTTTCTTGTATGTTCCCTTTAAGTTCTTAGGCATATTTTTAGAGGACAGTCAAGCAAGGAAGGGATGGCCAACTGGTCTGCTTTGGGGCAAATGAACATGGCCAGTGCAATGTGCCTGCAGACTTGGGCCCGGTCTTGGCAGTTTCCGTAGGCGCGGGCCACACATGTGCAGCACGGACGGATGGACAGCTGGCTTCGCGGCTGCAAGCTCCGAAATCCGTGCTGTTTGGTCAGTTTGGCGCGGTCAAAATAACAGAGGGCTCCACCAAAAAGAAGATCACAAAGTGCCCAAGCGAGTCCTGACACCATCGCTAACCCTAATCCCTAAATCCTCAACCCCAAACCCAAAAAAAACCGAAGCCCTCACCATGAACCCAGGTGTGCTTTGGCAACAACTATCGTGGCCAGTGCAACGTGCCACACCTAGGCCCGGTCCAAGCATTCGCGGCCGGAGGCAAACGCACCTGTGCCGTGACCCTCGCGGGGCTGCTCGTGTGCTTTGGGGCCAACGCCTCTTGCTAGCCCAGTGGTACCCTTCTCCTTTTTTTGGGTTCAAGGTTCCCTTTTTCAGCAACCAGCACAACAAAAGGGTGCCCTTATTAAAATATGAGGACTGGGCTACTAAGGATTCGGGGGAGTGCAACGTTCCGAGTGACTTGGGGCCTGTTCGTGCTGTCTATATGGGGCATCGGCACGTCTGCGCAGTGAAGCCGGGTGGGCAGCTGGTGTGCTTCGGATGGAACTCTGCCGGCCAGTGCGATGTGCCAGAAGGTTTTGCGGAAGTTCCGGCTGACGAAACGGTTGGTCAGTGAGCACGGATGCACAGGGTAAACCCTCAACCCTAATCTCAAAAACCGAGAACTAAGCCCTACAAACCTCACGCATGATGCAGGACCTGAAACGCCATGACTGCCATAGACACTGCCCAAGGCCTGAGCCAGGGCAAGCAAGCTGCAGAAGCCGAGGGTATCCTAGCTCATCAGCTTCGCTGTAGAACGGCCGCGTAGATTGGAAGTGCAGCCTACCTAAACCCTATAAACTCTATAAACCCTATAAACCCTAGAAACCCTATAAACCCTATGAACCCTATGAACCCTATGAACCCTATAAACCCTCAACCCTGAGGGCTGAGGTTCCCTGGAGCAAACGCAAGGCCTTGGGGCCCAGCCGGCCCGCGAGATTGATATGGCACCACAACTTGAAGCACTCTTGGTCCCAAAGCCCCAGCCCTAGACCCTAGACCCTAAACCCTATAAACCCTATAAACCCTATAACCCTATAAACCCGAAAAAAACCCGAAACCTCTATGAGGGCTGAGGGTTTAGGGTTTAGGGCTTCTGAGCCAAGGCCATGCTGCATCACTCTGCACCAGCGCTGCCTCGACGCCACAGCGGTACAGCAATGCCGAGCTCATCGCAGAAGGTGCCTGGGGCGAGAGTCCTTCTGTCAAGAAAGACTCCTACTCTTTAGGCTTGTAGGGTTTGGGGTGTAGGGTTTAGGTTCCTGCTGTTAAGGGTGGGGGGGGGGGGGGGGGGGGGGGGGGGGGGGGGGGGGGGGGGGGGGGGGGGGGGGGGGGGGGGTGGGGGCGGTGGAGGGTGGGGGCGGTGGAGGGTGGGGGCGGTGGAGGGTGGGGGCGGTGGAGGGTGGGGTGGTTTGTCATTTTAAGGTCTTCTTGGCCTATGTCAGTGGCACTTCGGCTGGCTGGCTTTGATGTACTCTCGGGATTGTAAGGGGAGGGCGTGTTTTTTGCTTCCTTTTTTTTTTTTTTGCTTCCCTTTTTTTTCTGGGGTCCTCGTGTTCTCCAGTCTCAAGACAGGAAGCAAACCAGAGAGAAGGAAAGAAAGAAAGAAAGAAAGAAAGAAAGAAAGAAAGAGAGAAAGAAAGAAAGAAAGAAAGAAAGAAAGAAAGAAAGAAGAAGGAAAGAAGGAAAGCAGGACAAGAAAGAAAGAAAGCAAGAGAGAAAGAAACAAAGAAAGAAAGAAAGAAAGAAAGAGAGAAACATAGAAAGAAAGAAAGCAAGAAAGAAAGAAAGAACGAGAGAAAGAGAGAAAGAAAGAAAGAACGAAAGAAAGAACGAAAGAAAAGCAGGCAGAAAGACAGAAAGAAGAAAGAAAGAAAGAAATAAAAAAAGAAAGCAAGGAAGAAAGAACGAACGAGAGAAAGAAAGAAAGAAAGAAAGAGACAAAGAAAGAAAAGGAAGGAAAGAAAGAAGGAAAGCAAGACAAGAAAGAAAGAACGAGAGAAAGAAAGAAAGAAAGAGAGAAGGAAAGAAAGAAAGAAAGAAAGAAAGAAAGGAAGACAGAAAGAAAGAACGAAAGAGAGAAAGAAAGAAAGAAAGAAAGAAAGAAAGAACAACAGGCAGAAAGACAGAAAGAAGAAAGAAAGAAAGAAAGAAAGAAAGCAAGGAAGAAAGAAAGAACGAGAGAAAGAGAGAAAGAAAGAAAGACAGAAGGAAAAAAAGAAAGAAAGAAAGAACGAGAAGCAGGCAGAAAGACAGAAAGAAGAAAGAAAGAAAAAAATAGACAGCAAGAAAGACAGAAAGGAGGAGAGAAAGAAAGAAAGAAAGAACGAAAGAAAGAAAGAAAGAAAGAAAGAAAGAGAGAGAGAAAGAAAGAAACTACTACTACTACTAGAAAGAAAGAATGAAAGACGGCAAGAACAGAAAGGAGTAAAGAAAGGAGGCAAACAATAGGAAAGAAAGAACGAAAGAAAGTCAGCCAGAAAGAAAGAAAGAAGGAAACACAAACAACAGAAAGGAGTAAAGAAAGGAAGCCAACAATAGAGAAGGAAAGAATGAAAGAATGAAAGAAAGAACGAAAGTAAGCCCTGAACCCCGAAGCCTTGAACCCCTGAACCCTAAACCCGCTAATGTATATATTTATATATATATATATATATATACGTTAATATATATATATATATATATATATATATATGACTAGATATGCATATACATATAGATACTTATTTCATGGACGACATACATGTAAGAAATATATGGTATGTATATATTTATACTCGATATATAGTCTACATAGTATACATATAGCGTGTATAGTATATATAAATATGATATATAGGAGATACTGTACATACAGTATATATATATATAGTAGATATAGTATATCTGGTATACATAGTACAGACAACAAACAAAAAATATAAATATACATAGTACATATAAAGCATAATATATATATATATATAGTACATCATATATATAAATATGTATATTATAGTAAATTTACTCTGCATATGTCTATATATATACAAATACACAAAGTATCTAGAATATATATAGTTTATATAAGATAAATATATATATATATATATATATGCTCACGCCCCCCCCCCCCCCCCCCCATGATCCACGTTTCTGCTTCGAAACAGATGGATCTTGGGAGGAGAGGGGGCTATGAGCTAGCAACAAAAACACCGACAGGGCCGATAAAAACCTATATCATTTCAAGTCAGGCAGGTCATTTACATCAACAAGGTAGAAAAATACCCGAAAAAATCATGCTTTTTTAGAAAACTCGAGCCGGCTCGAATTTTCCAAAAAAAACTGACACAGTAGATTGCCGAAACACGACCAGGCTCGAATTTTCCAAAAAAACCTAAATTTCAGGATCTATGGCTCCAGCAGCCCGGTAGATCCTGAAAGTTAGGTTTTTTTTGGAAAATTCGAGCCTGCTCGAGTTTCTGGGACCTAAAGCTTCAAGAATTTTCGGAAAATTCGAGCCGGCTCGAATTTTCCAAAAAAAACTGACACCGTAGATTGCCGAAACACGACCAGGCTCGAATTTTCCAAAAAAAACCTAAATTTCAGGATCTATGGCTCCAGCAGCCCGGTAAATCCTGAAAGTTAGTTTTTTTTGGAAAATTCGAGCCTGCTCGAGTTTCTGGGACCTAAAGCTTCAAGAATTTTCGAAAAATTCGAGCCGGCTCGAATTTTCCAAAAAAAACTGACACAGTAGATTGCCGAAACACGACCAGGCTCGAATTTTCAAAAAAAAAACCTAAATTTCAGGATCTATGGCTCCAGCAGCCCGGTAGATGCTGAAAGTTAGGTTTTTTTTGAAAATTCGAGCCTGCTCGAGTTTTCGAGACCTGGAGCTTCAAGAGTTTTCGGAAAATTCGAGCCGGCTCGAGTTTTCTAAAAAAATGCTGAAACCATAGCTGTGTGACCCCAAGGCCTCATAGATGACATAATTTAGGTTTTTTTTGGAAAATTCGAGCCTGCTCGAGTTTTCGAGACCTGGAGCTTCAAGAATTTTCGGAAAATTCGAGCCGGCTCGAATTTTCTAAAAAACATGCTGAAACCATGGCTGTGTGACCCCAAGGTCTCATAGATGACAGAATGTAGGTTTTTTTTGGAAAATTCGAGCCTGCTCGAGTTGTGGTGACCTGGTGCCTGGAGATTTTTCGGAAAATTCGAGCCGGCTCGAGTTTTCCCGAAATCTCTTGATATTCTGACTGCGGTAATTGATACAATTAGTAGCATTACTTACCAATTCTATTTCAATTGGTAAGTTTCCCATATTTTTTTGACGGCAAATATCTAACTTGTGAGAAGAGGCCACGCAATGGTTTAAATCCAACAACCGTTTTGGTCTTAAACCCTTGACAATTAACATAAGAACTACCTTTGTGTCAAAGAAAACTTAAACTATCAATGAGGATATCTGCGGGACCAAAAGTTTCCATGATATATAAAAAGCATAGATAATTTGATTACATATACATACCTTCAACTGCTTCATCTACTTAATTTTTCTCAACTAACTTTCTTATCTCTTCGTAAGCATGTTGTTTAAATTGCTTCTCTATCTTCGATGTCTCTATTTGTTCGTATGTTGTTGCTTTCTTATGAAATGATTATGGCATCAAACTGTTGTTAAAAACTCTTCTTCGGTTATAGGTAGATGTCCTGCTTTGTTTTGATTTTTGCCTATATCTTCATAAGGATGTTTTTGTAGAGGGTCTAATTGTTGATTTCTTTGATGTTATACTTCCTTTTCAAACATACTAACGGGGTCTTCTACTTTCCGTATTCATATGTTTTGTCCCAGTGTCTTCTGGTCGTTGTCCTGATACATAAGGAGAACCATAGCTACGACTTCTGAATACATTCCCATAATCATTGTTTATTTGTTGTCCCGATGCTGAACCTAAACTGTGACTTACAATACCAGAAATTCCAGTTTCTTCTTTTCTTTAACCGTCTATTTCAATAAAACCATCTTGAATGAACTTATCTACGTCTTTATAACACTGAGTCATTTGCGTCTTATATAAAGGAAGGTTTCAATCACCATAAACATCTCTACAGCTTTTAGTCCCAGCAATGTATAAAATAGAACCATTTTTGATACATCCCGTCAGGATTCTCATACGCTAATTTAAGTCCTTGCGTGTCCGTTAAAAATGTCTCTGTCTTTGCGAATTCGTCTCTAACTTCATTATGTAGTCTGCTTCTTGTGTTAGGTGCTTTATTTGAAACCCCTTCATCTCTTCTTTTATGTTCATGCATTATACAATGGTTTATAAGGTATTATTTATCTAATCAATGAATATTGTTGAAGTTCAAGAAGGTGTATATTGGAAGCTACTATAGAGTGAATAACAGAGATTAGCAAACCACACAAAACCAAATCCAGAAACGGATTCTGTTTGTAGATTTCTGTTGTTTAAAAGTGTAGATAATCAATAGCAAGTTGTAGCTTCAGACATGGCAAGACACGAAAGTATCGTAAATACCGGTGTGTTTTCACTTCAACCATATGTGCAAATAAGCACAGGTGCAGAAGGACAAGCAAGAAAAGGATACACATGGATCATGGGGGGGGGGGGGGGTGTGACCATATATATATGTATATATGTAGTATACTCTACTGGAGTATAGTATAGTATAGTATACTAGACTATACTATACTATACTATAGGACACAATACTGTACTGTACCGTACTGTACGACGATGACGAGGACGACGACTAGTACTACGACGAGTAGCAGTAGTACCACTACTACCACTGCTACTGCTACTTCTAGTAGTAGTAGTAGTAGTAGTAGTAGTAGTAGTAGTTGTAGTTGTAGTAGTAGTAGTAGAAAGAAAGAGAGAAAGCAAGAAAGAAAGAGAGAAAGAAAGAAAGAAAGGAAGACAGAAAGAAAGAAAGAAAGAGAGAAGGAAAGAAAGAAAGAAAAAAACAGGCAGATTTACAGAAAGAAGAAAGAAAGAAAGAAAGCAAGGAAGAAAGAAAGAACGAGAGTAAGAGAGAAAGAAAGAAAGAAGGAAAGAAAGAAAGAACGAGAAGCAGGCAGAAAGACAGAAAGCGCTTTTTTTTAAGCCGTGCAAGCTTGCTTCAAAGCATATGAAACTTTTTTTTGAAACCCATCATGCAGGCATTGTGTTTGCAAATGGGGGGGGGGGGGGCTGCGCCCCCCCAACCCCCCCGCTTTTTTTAAGCCGTGCAAGCTTGCTTCAAAGCATATGAAACTTTTTTTGAAACCCATCATGCAAGCATTGTGTTTGCAAATGGGGGGGGGCTGCACCCCCCAACCCCCCCGCTTTTTTTAAGCCGTGCAAGCTTGCTTCAAAGCATATGAAACTTTTTTTTGAAACCCATCATGCAAGCATTGTGTTTGCAAATGGGGGGGGCTGCGCCCCCCCCAACCCCCCCGCTTTTTTTAAGCCGTGCAAGCTTGCTTCAAAGCATATGAAACTTTTTTTGAAACCCATCATGCAAGCATTGTGTTTGCAAATGGGGGGGGCTGCGCCCCCCCCAACCCCCCCGCTTTTTTTAAGCCGTGCAAGCTTGCTTCAAAGCATATGAAACTTTTTTTTTGAAACCCATCATGCAAGCATTGTGTTTGCAAATGGGGGGGGGCTGCGCCCCCCCCAACCCCCCCGCTTTTTTTAAGCCATGCAAGCTTGCTGCAAAGCATATGAAACTTTTTTTGAAGCCCATCATGCAAGCATTGTGTTTGCAAATGGGGGGGGCTGCGCCCCCCCCAACCCCCCCGCTTCTTTTTAAGCCGTGCAAGCTTGCTTCAAAGCATATGAAACTTTTTTTGAAACCCATCATGCAAGCATTGTGTTTGCAAATGGGGGGGGCTGCGCCCCCCCCAACCCCCCCGCTTTTTTTAAGCCGTGCAAGCTTGCTTCAAAGCATATGAAACTTTTTTTTTGAAACCCATCATGCAAGCATTGTGTTTGCAAATGGGGGGGGCTGCGCCCCCCCAACCCCCCGCTGCCAAGCTGCTTATATGAAACCCCATCATGTGCAAATGCTGCCCCCCCCCCAACCCCCCCGCCGTTGCAAAAGCATATGAAAACTTTTTTTTGAAAAACCCATCAGCAGGCATGTGTTTGCAAGGGGGGTGCTGCCCCCCCCCCCCCCCCCCCCCGCTGCCGTGCCTTGCTTCAAAGCATATGAAACTTTTTTTGAAACCATCATGCAGGCATTGTGTTTGCAAATGGGGGGGGGGCTGCGCCCCCCCCAACCCCCCCGCTTTTTTTTAAGCCGTGCAAGCTTGCTTCAAAGCATATGAAACTTTTTTTGAAACCCATCATGCACGCATTGTGTTTGCAAATGGGGGGGGGTCTGCGCCGCCCCCAACCCCCCCGCTTTTTTTAAGCCGTGCAAGCTTGCTTCAAAGCATAAACTTTTTTTGAAACCCATCATGCAAGCATTGTGTTTGCAAATGGGGGGGGGCTGCGCCCCCCCCAACCCCCCCGCTTTTTTTAAGCCGTGCAAGCTTGCTTCAAAGCATATGAAACTTGTATAAATATAGAAATATAGAAAGATATAAATACATAAATGTATAAATACATAACTATATAAATATATACATATGTAAATATATAAATATATGAATACATAAATACATAAATACAAAAATACATAAATACATAAATACACAAATACACAAATACACAAATACACAAATACATAAGTACATGAATACATAAATATATAAATATACATAAAGCTATATGTATATATACATTATAGACATATATAGAATTATCCATAATTATATATATGTATATATAAATATAAATATATATATATAGACACTTACAAACACATATAAACACATATAAATAAAACAATTAATAAATATTATATAATATTATATTTATATATATGTGTATATTTATACATCCATTATAATAAATACTATATATATATATACATGAATACGTATCAATATAGGATAATATTATATATATATATCTATGGATATTATATATATATATGTATATCTCAATGTATATAAATATATATATGAATATATATAAAGACATAAATATATGTAAATATAGATAGCTAAATAATTAAACAATATATATATATATAAGTATACATATATACATACAAATATAAATATATACATATATACATATATACATATATACATATACACATATATACATATATACATATATACATATATACATATATACATATATACATATATACATATATACATATATACATATATACCTTTTCGCATATAGTAAATAGAGGACCTTTCTAGATGACACATGAAAACCACAAAAACCACCCAACAAAAAAACCAAAAAAAAAATCCCCCAAAAAATAACCAGCTCCTAATCCGAGTAAGAGTAGTAAGAATCCTTTGAAAATACGGAGGGAATGGTGGCTTTCCTAGCAAAAGCCAAGAAAACCAAAAAAAAACAAAAAAAGGGAAGCAAAAAAAAAAAAAAAAGGAAGAAAAAAAACTCCACCCATTGTAAGGGGATAGTGTTGACATTTCTTCAAAGGCTCCTGCATTACTGGACATGGGGACCATGAGGGTTCATGGGTGTCTCAGCGGTCCAGGTGTCAAGACATGCAGCAGAAGCTTAAAGTCACTGTGGGCCATGTCTTCAAGCACAGCGCAAGCTTGTCACTCCTGAATGCTGGATGCAACATGTATGGGGGGTTTGATCTACATCACAGGCCCTTGCGAAATCTCTACGACATATTGTCTAGGTCTTCAAAACACGAAGCCCATGACTTGACCCCCCCCCCATACCTTAAACCGGTCTGCACGCAAGTGTAGACGCGGGTGAACAAGCCCGACACCCCGGAAGCCCAACGTCCCCCGAAGCCGAGCGCAAGAGGCGATCAGCTCCGGGCAAATACCGACTTCATGCGCCGCCTGAGACAAGGAAGCTCACATTTACTTTGGCATAGTTGGGTAACATGTTTTTTCGAAGGGTACTTAACCCAAAAAATTTAGGATTATGGGCCCTGAATATGGTCCCTTGCCTCCTTTATAGGCTTCGGATGTATGGGCCCTTACTTCGTACAGGGTATATCAGGGGTATATGAAGGGGTACCCGTTAAACTGATGGGTTCTGGGGCTGAGAGTCCTTTAGATATTCGACGGTGGCTCGGGTAGATGGGGTTCTGGGGTTTAGGACCTCCAAAACCGAAGCCCTAACCCCAAATCCCCCAACGCCCCAGGGGTTCAGAGTTCAAAGGGTTTGGGATTGCTGCGTCTTCCGGATGAGCTGTAGCCCTAGGGGTCCATGGACTTGTATAGCATATACTCGGGCCCTCCAAGCTACATTCGGAAGGCCTTTAAGGCCCGAGCATATACTGTAAAGGTGCGTGGACCCCGTGGCTAGAGGGCTCTGGGGATTTGGCATTCGGGACTGGGCCGTAATCCTGATTTAGCCCATGGACATTTGGTGTTTGTAATAGCCTACCCCCCCCCCCCCCAAATTCATGTCCACCCCGATAACCCTTACATGGAACCCTATGACCCGGCAGGCTTAAGACCACCAAAAAACCCTAAACCCTAAACCCTACAAAACCCCCAAAACCCCCCAAAAAACCCAAAAACGCCCTGCAGGCCGGCACGAGCGACTCCGCCGAGAGCTCCGCCGCCACAACGTGTCGGCCGCCGTGATCTTCGACCCCATCAACGTCAGGCTCCGAGGGTGTTGACCCCCCCTTCCCCCCTAATGTTAAATATACCCTCCCCATCTACTACAATATAGCTATAATTGAGTTTAGGGTTTAGGGTTTAGGGTTCAGGGTTCAGGGTTTAGGGTTGGGTTTAGGGTTTAGGGTTTAGGGTTTCGGGGGGGGGGGGGGGGGGGGATGTCGTAAGCCGTTGCTTGTGGCCGGCTGAAGTTTAGGGTTTCGGGTTTTCAGGGTTCTTCGGGGTTTGTTCCAGGGTATTTGTATTTAGGGTTTCTGGGTGCTGGGTTTCAGGATTCTGGGTTTCAGGGATTAGGGTTTCAGGGTTTCAGGGTTTTAGGGTTTAGGGTTTCAGGGTTTATGCGTCAGGGTTCAGGGTTCGGGAGCTATTGCTTGTCGATGCTTGCGCTCGAGGGCTTCTCATGGTCCGGCCGTTGCAGCAGAGGGCAGGGCACTTGTTGTTGGCTGTGTAGCTGGAGGGGCACAACGGTTTAGGGTTTAGGGTCAACCGTGAGGGTTCAGACTTGCATGGACTAACCCGAATCTCCAAACCCACATTCTCCTTCATAAGACTTTTGGAAGCCCTTCTGGACCCTATGTAGAATCTTATAAGCACTGAAACACGACACTGCTGGCAGGTATGCCGTGGACTTCAGAAGCATGATTCCCTTCTACCTGCGACGCCTGGCCAGTTTGGCACCTTCAGAATCGAAATACAGAATGAGGTTGCTTTTGACTAGGGTCCCTTTCTGGGGGACTCTTGTGCAAAGGGACCCTAAACCCTAAACCCGAAACCCTAAACCCTAAACCCTAAACCCTAAGTGTTGCGGGTCAGGATCGAAGGGAAGTTACATGGTTCCTTTCACAGGGCCCCCTTACCTTCTTCAAAGGGTTCTCGAGTATGGGCCCTGGGGCCTTTCTAGGCATGAAGGGACCATATGAAACAGGGTTTATACTACTGTTATTGGTGAGTTTTTGGGTTTAGGGTTTAGGGTGTAGGGTTTAGGGTTTAGGGTTTAGGGTATTTGAAGACTAACTTCATGTGCCTACCCTAGGAGCATGAAGGAGTGCGATTTTTGTTTCAGGTGTCGACACGGGGGGATCGTAATTGTATAGAAACCTCTCCAGAGCACTAGTTATGGCCGCGACCAGCTTGCTGAGATGGGAGTGGGGGGGGTTTTCGTGGTTTGAACCGGTTGAGGGGTTGAGATGCACCTGGCCCGGATTTCTGGCCATCAGTGGCAAACTCTACAGAGCTTCAGGGTTTGAGGTTTGAGGTTTAGGTTCCGCCTACAGCTAGAGTAACCCCAAACTGGAATCGAGACCCCGGGAAGACTCTAGACAGTAGGTCCCCTGATCTAGCTAGGGAAGTTGAGGGTTGGGGGCTTCAGAGGTTGCCCAGTAGTTCTACTTTTAGGGTGTAGGGTTTAAGGTTTAGGGTTTAGGGTTTAATGTTGAGGAGCTAAGTTGATGTATCTAAACCCCTGGACACTGTAAGCCCGGATCACTTCACTGGCATGCCAGAACCTCAGTCCTGAATCCGAAGCGTGGAAATAGCGCCCTTGGCCAGGTAATCCTACACAGTATCTGGTAGTGCCAGCTGACGAGACGTCCAAGCCGCTCGATCCGAATGGTGGCCAGTGTCACTAGGTTGGGGTGCTTTGGGGCTTACAGGTTGTAGCGCATTTCAGATGTACTTGGGTACCCTGACCCTGAACGAAGCCCTAACACCCTAAGCCCCCTAAACTCCGAATCAGGGATGTCACATCTTCAGCTTAGCCCGCCCATAGCGATCCGACAGAATCCATTTTCTAAGGTGTCGAGCGCTTGGATGCAGTTTTTGTTTGCGTGTCATGACGTAGTGTAGTGCTTGCTGTCGTGGCATTGGACGAGGGAGTTGCGTGGAAGCTCTCCAAAAGAACAATCCTGAACACGAGTCTTCTAAACCACTCCACACCATCAAGTTCCCAAACCCTCATGCGGTGAGCCTCTGAAGCCCAAAAGCTCTCAATGCCCAAAACCTCAGGAGAGGTGTTTTTGTTTTTCATAGAACTTTTTTAGGGTTTGGCTCTTGTCCTATTTTTAATATAAATAGGCACCACTTTCTATGTATTTTAAGAGGAAAACCTCTATTTTGTCGATATTTGAATATGAGAACCTCTATTGTCTTTGTTTAACAAGAAAACCTTAATTTTCTCTATACTTAAATATTTCCATCGGCACACCTCTAATTTCTCTCTTTGTTGTGTTTAGAAAACTTTATCTCTCTATTCTTTATTAAGAAAACATCTATTTTCTCTATTTTTTAGTAGAAAAACATTTTTCTGTACTTTAAAGGGAAGGAAGGAAGGGAGGGAGGAAGGAAATAAGGAAGGAAATGCGACTGGGAAATAAGGAAGTGAAGAAGGAAGGTGGTGAGTGTGCATATTGCGAGATGCTATAGTTATGTCATACCATGTTCTATGGGAGGATGCCTGTGTCCCACCTCGATCCATCAGAAAGAGATACTTCCCGCTCGAGAACTCGGTTTCTGCTCCCAAATCTGGCAATGCTAGATCTCGAGGTGGGAAACAAAACAAGACAAGGCTAGTGAAAGTTCGGCATTCCAGACAAGGTTTAAGGTTTGGGCACATAGACCTTGCAAGTGCTCATGCCGGGATATGCCAAGCAGCAGTCTGTGTGTAATTGTTTTGAGTGGTCACCACGAAGCCAAAACCAAGAACCTGCCCTCTCCTTCGGGGCTCATGGTTTCAAGGGCGTGGCCGAGAGCGTTTAGGGCCTGGGAGTGCCTTCCAACCTTCCTTGTCGTAGCACGCGCATCCAACCTAGAAACGGCAGCTAGCCGTATCATGCCACGCGTGTGGGGATTTCCAAACTGTCGTATTGTACCCTCTACACACAAGCCTCTCTTTGAGAACAGTTGCAGCAACAGTGGTCAAGCGAAGACGCCAACAGGGACAGCAGTTCTCCAAAGTTCTCAGGATAGCAGCCGTGCGTGAGGGTTGCGCTATGCCACGGCACGCGGCGGCTGCGATGGCGTCCAAGCACATCGGCTGCCAGCCTGAACGCAGAGCAGAAACACCCCGGCAGCCGGTCCGACAGTGTGACTCCACAAGTGTGGTTTTGCAAAGCACGCGCAGTTCTACAAGGCAAGCTTGTGTGACGCCTCAGATAGGAATCCCCCAGGAAGGTGCGCCGCAGGCTCTCTTGTTTGCTCTTTTCGAGCCTACTTGGTGTCGATGTTTTGTTTTTGGTTTTGTTTTGTTTTTGTTGGGGGTCGGTGGGTAGGGGAGGTAAGTGCCGGTTGCTGTTTCTGTTTCCCTGCTGGCAGGGGGAGCATGGACACGAGCCAGCTCCCCTGTGGCATCTGTTCGCGCTGCCAGATCGCGTGGATGCGAGGCTAGGTGGGATTTCGGATTCTGTTTTTTTCTATCCTCCCGTGTTTATTTTTTTGGTTTGCTTTGTTTGCTTTTGGGCTTGTTTCTGCTCTGGTTTGGTATGGCAGGTTCCGACCAGCGGAGTAAACGGTGTCTAGCACCCATGCCACGGAACAGAATTACGATGCAGCTGCGCAACTCGCAGCTACGGGAGCGGAGAGCCGTCCCCGCTCGTGTAAAGGCTGCGGCGAAAGCCAAAGCCAAGTACATGTTCATCCGCCCCAATGAGCGTGTACTTCAGTTTGCGGGCCATCATTACGTGTACCAGCCCCCTCTCCATAGGGAGGAGAACGAGGATGAGGGCGAGGATCGCGATCTCCGACACGCATGCTGGCTACCTGTACACCAAGAGCTCGAAACGCAAGGCCAAGAAGAAGGTGAAGGCCTCGCTTCGTCTTTTCAAGTTTTCGTGTACAAAGGGCCATGACACGGCTTGTCAGCCATTGCGTGTTGGATCATCGGCGCCGGACCGATAGCTCGCCCTGGCAGGCACTTGCTTCTCCACAGAGCGAGGCCAACAAAGCCGCCTGCGAGGAGGTTCTGCAGACCGAGTATGGGGACGCCTCGACTGGAGCAGCTGCCTACGTCTTCGACTCATGGGCCCATGTGGGCGAGCTGGCAGACGCACGAAGTCCAGTTGCCCGCGCCTCACGCGTGCAACAAGCACGTGACTTTGTGCTACAACTGCCCACACGCCGCTCACTGGGGTCCGCGCAAGCACAGCTACGCACTGTTGGAGCATCAAACCCTGGTCAACCCTTCGAGGAGGGGGGCGCTGTCGTGGCTTGGCACGGCAGCGCGGGAATTGACCTGACATAAATATCCCATTTTCGCGGGGCCTGGTGGTTGTTCCCACTGGGCCCCGGACCTCGCCTCTGTCCGGGGCGTAAAACTAGGACATCTGCAGGCGTGGAGCGACGCGCCGACCCATTGTGGAGGTTGCAGGCCTCAGGACCCTTTCATGCTTTTCGTTTTCTTTTCGCAAGTGTGCTCCGTCGTCTTTCAAGTCTGGTTCTTGGGAGGGCCGTCATCTATGGCAGCGCCGGACACGGCACATGCTGCTTGACCTCCTCGCGATGTTTCGAGACAACAGCCTGGGCGCGGGCAAACCCTCTGTGCGCGTGGCGCTGGACTCGGCAATGCTATGGTATGATTGTCTGGTCAGTCGACTGAGCTGCGGGACGCCACCTGTTGCAGGTCCTCTTCGTGCTGGCGCCCCTGGGAATGATCATGTGTCCTTTGCTTTCGTTATTCTTTATGCGCGTGACGACTTCCAGGCAACAGTTGTACCAATGTGTTGCTGGCTGCTGGCTTCCACTTCAGCCTCACAGCTACGCGAATTTTGCCAGAGCTCTTCTGGGGCGACAGGACTCCGACGCCAGTGGCGGTTGGTGCACTAGCGCAGATACAAAAAACGAGGTTCCCAGAAAAAAGTTGCGGTTCTCTCATGAAACAGAAAAGAAAATTGCCAACAAAAACCAGAAAATTGCATGCTGCCCTATTTAAACGAAGGGAAAAGAAGGCTTTCTCATGACAAAAGAGGAAATACACGAATGCTTGCCTGCGAAAATATGGAGAAAACATAGCGGAAGTTGAGTTTTTTGGGATTAAAATAGGAGATTGAACATCTTCTCGGTACAGAATTGAGAAAATAAAGCTTGTGTTATGAAAATGCGGAAAACATGAGCAAACATACTTTTTTTGCGAGCCACAATAGAGATAATGCATGTACTCTTGTGAAAAAATGAGAATTTGCTTCTCATGTATTCCTGTCTCATGTCTTCCTCATGAACTTCACACATATAAACTCTGGTAATATAGACAAAATAGTAAAATATAGAAAATAGAGGTTTTGTTTTAATGTAGAGATTATTAGATGTTTTCCGATGACAACATGAGGATAGAGAGGATATTCATATGAAAAAGGAAGAAAAAATAGAGGATTTGCATATTAAAACGTAGAGAAAATAGAGGTTTTCAGATTCAAACAGAAATAGAGGTTTTCAAATATAGACATAGTGAATTAGGTCACGGTACAACAGCCCAACCCCCCTCCCCCCCGGAGAGAAAAAAATTCCAAAATTAGTTCCGCGGCCAAAAGAACAACCTCATGCCAGGAATGCTGCATACCCTGGAGCCCTGAAGCCCCTGAACCCTGAACCCTACAACCCCTCCCATCACTCCGATGGAACACGAAACCTTCAACTCGGTCCTAGCTTGCCCGTCCCAAGGAATGTATCTACAGAACCCTCGAGCTCTCGAGCCCGAAGCCCCTAACTCCCCCAAACTCCCAACTTCCCAAACTCCCAACCTTCTAAACCCCGAACTCCCTAAACCCCTAACTCCCACAAACTCCCAACTCCCTTCGCGCCTATAGGCCTCCCTCAACCCGAAAGAACGTCGAGGTCGCTACTGTTTGCCGGCTCTTTTGGTTCCGATGCCCTTCTGGCGGACTTCAATGGAACCCTGGCAACTCGCCACGCCACGCCTTACCTTTTAGGGGCTTCTAAACAGGGTGTATAAAGGGTGTAGGTTTTGGGTTTTTTGGGGTTTAGGGCTTAGGGTTTAGGATTTAAAGTTTAGGGTTTCGGTTTTAGGGTTTCGGGTTTGGAGTGGCTCATCTGTGTTAGATGGATGCATGTACAAACGGAGGTCTATGTACCCGAAGTATACGAGGTTTTGCTTTCAAGTTGGTTCATTCTCGTCGATATAATTGAACTCGTCAGAGTTGCAATTAGGGTTGAGAGGGTTGAGCACATGGGCAAAAAAGAAAACTTCGTGGAAGTCTTTAGGCCGGGCTTGTAGATCCTCATACCTAGAAGCTACTGCCCTGCCCTACAAACCCGAAACCTAACTAGTTGGGTTAAACGAACTATGGTAACCTACCAAACAAGGCCCAGCTGTTTGGCTCTTCAGTGGTTCCCAGCGCTGTGACACAAGCTTATCCGCCCCTCTCGGTGATGCTACTCTTCTTGGACTCATCGTCTTCCGTGGATACGCGGGGCACATACGTCATAGTAGGCGTGGTGCCCGTCAGCTTGCAATGGACTTTTTTGAAGCTTTGATCCTTGAGTCAGAGTATACAAGCACCCCCCCCCGGCCATTGTGTGTGTTTACGTGACGGCGTAAGCTTGCAAAGGCCCGAATCAGGTGGCGTAGTCGTCTCACGACAAGGTTAATCGCAAAAGCCGGCCATGCCTTCCCTCAACTCTCGATCACATCGACCCTACCACCCCTCCCCAACCACCCCACAAAAAGACACAACAAATACCCGAACATTCGGCATGGTAGGCCATCGCTTACGTGACTTCGGGGCTACGGAAGTTCTACAGGCAAACCCGGGTCCCGAAGCCCTCCCTAAACTCCAAACCCTATCCTTAGTAGCTGAGTGAGCACACTTTACACTTTTTGGGATACCATACTCCCCTATAGAACTGAAAGTGTACACTTTTTGGAGGCTTATGAACTCAGCAACTAAGTATAAGACCCCAATAACCCTGAAACCAACATCGTTCCAATCTTTTCCCAAACGGTGCCGAGGAGTTTCACCCAGCTGTAGGCCGGAGTTTGATTTAGGGGGGGGGGGGGGGGTTAGGGGATTGAGGGTTTTGGGGACCCTCTCCTGGGATCTTCTGCGGGCTTAGGGTTTTGGGGCTTTGGGTTTGTCAGGTTTAGGGTTTAGGGTTTAGGGTTTAGGGGTTGTTGGGGCATCTTGGCACTGTCATGTAGGCCGCGGTTAGACTCGACGAATGGGCCCTTAAGGGCGTGGGTGGTTCAAGGGTGGCAGGTGGGCAACTAGGGAACTATGAAGGTTAGGGTTTAGGGTTTAGGGTTTTGGCTCTAGGGGAAGAAGTGCTAGGTTGCTTGGGAATAGACACGCGGCCAGAATCTAGGCTTCTGGTTTCAACACCGCCTGGGCGCCAAAGCCTTGAGTTCGTGGGATTCCCCGTCTCCTGCTAGAGTAAAGGGAGGGACCCTTCAAGGGAGTAGGGGCTAAGGTATGTGTTTATATTACCTATACAAGGAAAAATTTGGAGGTTATAGAGGGCAATAGAATTTAGGGTTCCCTTCTTCTTGCAGTCCCTCCTCATATCCCCCAATAGCCGGGCAGTCCTTTGGCTGCTATACAAACAGCAAGCTGTGCCATGGTTTAGGGTTTAGGGTGTAGGGTTTAGGGTTTAGGGTTTAGGGTTTAGGGTTTAGGGTTTAGGGTTTAGGAACTGTAGAGTTCCTCCCTGTGAGCCCAGCATACCCCAGGCACCCTAAACCTATCAACCCTTTCAACCCTGTCAACCCTCCGATCAACCCTACAAAACCTACAAACCCTGAACCCTTTACGGTTTAGGGTTTAGGGTTTAGGGTTTAGGGTTTTAGGCTTTTTCGGGGCTCACTGGGCACTTGGGATGCTGAAGCCCCTCTTGAAGAGGTGCAACCATGGCCTCTGCGGGCCCTCGCGAGGATGAGAAGACCCACGACTGCTCATTGGGGGGGTGCCCTGAAAAGCTAGCTTGGCCCTTGGGACAATTTTTGAATGTTTCCCTTCTTGGGTTGAAGAGGAAGATCTTTAGGTATGTCTTTCAGAGGGTTTCAGGGGCCATCCTAGATAAGCTCTGGCGCCCAAAACGCCCTAAACCTGGAGCGCTGACACTTCGTCGTCGTAACGGATACTCACCTCCCGCGATGATTGCCGACCAAGGGCCCAAACAGTAAAGCCCTAACCCTAAGCCCCAAACCCCAAACCCCAAACCCCAAACCCCAAACCCCAAACCCCAAACCCTAAACCCTAAACCCTAAACCCTTAGGGTGCTGTTTTTTCTTCCTCTCAGTCTAAGGATCGACCTATGGGTCGAGGAGATGGCGCCTTGGCCGCCGTTCCCATACGTTTGACTTTGGGGTTTGGGGTTTAGGGTTTAGGGTTTGGGGTTTAGGGTTTAGGGTTTAGGGTTTGGGGTTTAGGGTTTAGGGTTTAGGGGCTGGGATATCAGGTTATCCCTTGGAATATGAGAGGATCTTACTTGTGAATTTTGTTCAGGGTGGTTAAAGGGGCCAATCTGGATGTTTTCTCATGTGGGGTCAGTTGCCTTCATGTCTGCCGGGACCCTGAACCCCATTCGCGAAGCCCTCAGTCCGCTTGGTGCAGGAGTGCGGTTGGGCTCCATGTACCTACATAGGAACTTGGGCCCGAAAGCTACTATATGGGAACTGCTTTACGGCCCAAGAATATTACCTAAACCCGCTTTTGGACATTTTGCCTGGGGATCGGCGGAAAGTTCGGGCGCGAGGGTCCGGACTCAATCGGGTCTCTTCATTCTGGCTCAAGGTCTTTTTCCCCAGGGCTCCAAACAGCCCAAGTTGGCTATTATGTATAATTATAGGGTTTAGGGTTAGGGCTATATGGTTTACGGTTAGGGCGTTTTTTAACCTATGTTGAGCTCGAGGATAAGATCCTCGGAAAGCTGGCAGCCACCAGCCCCCACGGCAAGCGCGTGGCCATTGAGCGCTTTCAGGCAGCCAGGGACGAGGGTTGGGTTTTTTGGCTTAGGAGGGGCCCAGTAGGTCAAGAAGGATCTGTTGCTTTTTTTGACCCCTATACAATACGGACCCCATGTTGGCACTAGGAGCTAAACCCTCAACCCCGAAGCCCGAAGCCCAAACCACAGTTGGCTACTGCGAGGAGCGCGCTACACGAGGATTGCGAGACCGCGGCTACGCGCTGTTGGCTGCAACACCGGTCTGCTAGGGTAGGGAACGGGGTTCAGCGTGCTTAGAAGGTTTGGGGTTTAGGGTTTAGGGTTTAGGGTTTAGGGTTTAGGGTTTAGGGCTAGGGTTTAGGGGTTGCCAGGAACGGCAAGTAAGAATGATTCCCCCACACTTCGGCATGACCGGCTGAGAAGCCTCTCTGACAAAGAAGCTTTTCACCCGAATTAGGGGTTAGGGCTTAGGGTTTAGGGTATAGGGTTTAGGGTTTAGGGTTTAGGGTTAGGTTAGGGTTAGGGTTTAGGGTTTAGGGGTTCGGGGCGGAAGCCTAAACCCTTACAAGCCCATCAAAACGCAGGAATGGCTACCATGTTTTTACTCCTGGCGTTCTGTTAGAAACTCTACGCTGCCAGCCCAACAGCCCCTGGAAACCTTTGAAAACTCCCCTAAACCCTAAACCCTAAACCCTAAACCCTAAACCCTAAACCCTAAAACCCTAAACCCTAAGCCCTGCATTCGCCTTCATTCCCTGGCTTGCCGGTAAGCCTTCCTCCCCAAGGACCTGATCGATGCCCAGATTCCCATCGAGTACGCGCGCAGCGTCAAGTCTGAAGAGGAGATCACGGCGATCCGCTACGGCCGCTTGCGCCAAGTGAGGATATCTAGGACCTATAGAGTAGGTCCTTAGTAGGTCCTTCTTCCCTTTTTTAGGGTTTTAGGTTCTCTGATAAGGGTTTAGGGTTTAGGGTTTACTTAGTAGCTGAGTGAGTACACTTTTCACTTCTTTCGCTGGGATACTATAATCTCTACAAAACTAAAAGTGCACACTTTTTGAGGGAGGCTTATGAACTCAGCAACTAAGTTTTCTAGGAACTAGAGTAGGTCCTTATTCCCTGTTGTTTAGGGTTTTAGGTTCCCTGAGAAGCCCCTCTAAAGGACAAAGAGTACCCTTTTAATTCCTAGGTTACTCTTGGGTCTAGTTTTTTGGGTTGGGAGAGCCAGCTTTCAGTTTAGGGCATCGGGCCCATTTATGGGGCTCACTGCCTAGAAGGGTTCATTCGGCATTGAAAGTTTTGGGATTACGGAGCTTCTTAACCCGCTGAGTGCAGCAAGATTGAAACTCCTGAGGAAGCTGTTTGCGCAACCCTTCTAGGCACTTACACCAAGTGAGCTACTCACTGCCTCAGCTCCGAAACGTCAGAGCCCTGCACCAGGGCAAGTTTGTTTGCAACTGGATCTAAGCTTACCTCGCGCCCCTACCTATCACTACCCATGGCTCTTCAAGCAGGCCCTGAGGTTCTAGTTGCCCTCGAACGCAAAAACCCTACCCTAAACCCTAAACCCTAAACCCTAAACCCCCAAGAAGCCCGTTTTTCTCAGGGATCAAGGTTGTCGAGGAGGGCGTCCACCGCCTCCGAGAGGCACTGGCCAAGCCGGAGGTGAACATCACCGAGAACGAGGCCCCAGCAGAGGGCGTGTGAAGTTAAGGGTTTAGGGTTTTGGGTTTTGGGTTTGGGGTTTAGGGTTTAAAGTTTTTTTGTGTACTGTTTTCATGTTCTTTACAAGTTGATTATGTGTATGCATTTGGTAGGCTGTAGCCTTCAGGACTTAGGAGTTTGGGTTTTAGGGTAACCCTAGGCCCTACAGGGCTTAGGAGTATTTTCAAAGACTTCTAGAATGTTTCTGTGTATCAGGGGCCTTGTGAGCGGTAGCTACCTGTTGCTGGCCTTGCGCGAAGACTCTCCAAAAGGGGCTGTCCATTTCGCGCAACCCTTGCCTGGTGGGCCTGTTCTGCTTCCCTAAAGCCTAAACCCAAAACCCTACACTCCTACACCCTAAACCCTAAACTTACAAACCCGAAGCCCGAAGCCCGAAGCCCGAAGCCCGAAGCCCTAAACTCCTAACCTTTAAACCCTTCGCTGTAAAGGTTTGGAGCATCCTCCATGCAACCGTTGTGGCATGTGACGGCGAGTACGTGGAGACCAGGTCGCTGAGAGTTCTTCGAGCTCTTGCTCCTAGGGTTTAGGGTTTAGGATGTAGGGTATCGGGCTGAGGGTTTAGGATTTAGGGTTTAGGGTTCGGGGTTTTGGTTTTCGGGTTTGAGGTTTAGGGTTTGGGCTTCGGGGTTTTTAGGACTAGGTGTGCAAGATCTGTGAGTTTCTCAGGTCCTTTGGCACGGGTCCTGGTGATCTTTCTGAGCATGACTGACCATTCTAGTTCGGGAAGGATTGAGCGCAGACCAGTTCCTAAAGACACGTGCAATCAGCGAACATCAATGTTATAGAAATCGGCAGTTTCACTCCTTGCACTCTCACAAGTATCTCGATAGTTATGCGGATACAAACTAGACTCCAGTTTAGTAAGGGTGTGTCTACCAGTAAACTCAGTAAACGCTCCCCTCTAGACCCTACACCCAAACCCAGCCTCCGGAAGCATGCAGGGGGTTTTAGGGGGTTTTAGGGGGTTGCCAGGGAGGGTTTCAGGCTTTTGAATTTTGGGGTGACATGTTCACACCCTAGTTAGTCAGCAATTGCCTATGAAGCATCGCTTGATGAATGGTTATGAAGGATGGCATACAACATACCACAAACCACCCACCGATTGACGGTGAAACAGTCGTTGTGTACTCCTGTGGGGTCGTAACTTTGTTTATCCTGTCGAATTACCCTGTTTACAAAAATAGGGGCCCCCAAATAACCCCCCCAATGGTAGGATCCCCTTATTTAAGGACCCCAACAAGGTACCCCTGATGTCGTAAACCCCCACCACTTGTACTATCCAAATGGCTTCATCGATTCATCTGCTGGCGCCGTGATGTCCACAAAAGATAGGGTTTCCAGGGTCGCCAAGGATTTCAGGATCTGAAGAAGTGTGTGAATGATTGGCCGCATAGCCTGCGAAACTGCTCGTTCACCTGACATCACGGTGCAAGCTGCCTTGTTGGTCCATATTGGCCCAAGGACATAGGGTCCAATGCTCGTTATAAGTGGCGCGCCTTTACCGTCACGTCAATACCTAGGACTCTCCTTACCTGCAGGTTAGTCGTAGCTACCAGCTCGTCAATACCTAGGACTTTCCTTACCTGCAGGTTAGTCGTAGCTTCCCCTGAATTCGTAGGTATAGGTATGGTATGGCCCATAAAACTGTAGGTCAAGAGAGTTGTAGGTATGCTCCAGTTGACTGTTTCGTTGCCAAGCGGCCGAGCCGAGTGCTTTTCAGTGGATCAAGGCTCCACAGTGGGCGACCTGCAGATCTTGGCCGCGCAAACTTTCCAGCAGGAGCGCCTCAGGCTTGTCACCGCAGAGAGGCTTGGCAGACCAGTGGTTACCCTTTTTCCTTTTTTGTTGGTTTTAAGGTTCACATTATAGAGTGACCAACCCAAAAAAGGGTGCCCTTGTAAGAATATGGCTACTGGGCTACCAAGGAGGGGTGTGCTGGATGATCCCAGAGCGCCTTTGCTAAATGTAGGGCTGCGAGCAGGAGATCACGTCACGGCTTTGGCGACGCAGCTGCCACACATCGCGGGAACTCGGGCATACTTCGGGCGTGGCGCATTTGCGTCATGGTTCCGTGGTGAGGACAGAGCGACCACGTGGGGCGATCCACAGTTTGGTGGTGACAGCTCCGCAGTTCAAAGTCAGCTGAAAGGCGTGCAGCAAGTCCAGGCCACCAGCGGTGCATTTGCAGCCATTTTGGCAGATGGTTCTGTCGTCTCTTGGGGTGATCCAGAATGCGGTGGTGACAGCTCGGCAGTTCAAAGTCTGCTGAAAGGCGTGCAGCAGGTTCAGGCCGCCCTGTATGCATTTGCTGCCATTTTGGCAGATGGCTCTGTCGTTTCTTGGGGTCATCCAAGCTCTGGTGGTGATAGCTCTGCAGTTCAAAGTCAGCTGAGGGGCGTGCAGCAGGTTCAGGCCACAAGCGGTGCATTTGCTGCCATTTTGGCAAATGGATCTGTCGTGTCTTGGGGAGACCAATATGCCGGCGGTGACAGTTCCGCAGTTCAAAGTCAACTGAAGGGTGTGCAGCATGTTCAGGCCACAGAGAAGGCATTTGCTGCCGTTTTGGCAGACGGATCTGTCGTCACTTGAAGCGTCAACGGTGGTGACAGCTCGGCAGTTCAAAGTCAGCTGAGGGGCGTGCAGCAAGTTCAGGCCACAGGCGGCGCATTTGCTGCCATTGTGGCAGACGGATCTGTCGTTTCTTGGGGGCCTGCATTATATGGTGGTGACAGTTCTGCAGTTCAATGTCAGCTGAGGGGCGTGCAGCAGGTTCAGGCCACCACAACTTGTGCATTTGCAGCCATTTTGGCAAATGGATCTGTTGTTTCTTGGGGTGCTCCAGAATGTTGGCAGGGTGGTGACTGTTCGGCAGTTCAAAGTCAACTGAAGGGTGTGCAGCAGGTTCAGGCCACAGAGGATGCATTTGCTGCCGTTTTGGCAGATGGATCTGTCGTCACTTGGGGTGATCCAGGCTTGGGCGGTGACAGCTCCGCAGTTCAAAGTCAGCTGAAAGGCGTGCAGCAAGTCCAGGCCACCAGCAGTGCATTTGCAGCCATTTTGGCAGATGGTTCTGTCGTCTCTTGGGGTGATCCAGAATGCGGTGGTGACAGCTCGGCAGTTCAGAGTCAGCTGAACGGCGTGCAGCAAGTCCAGGCCACAAGCGCTGCATTTGCAGCCATTTTGGCAGATGGCTCTGTCGTTTCTTGGGGCGATCCACAACACGGTGGTGACAACTCGAAAGCAACTCCTGTTCCATGAGGAGGACGAATGACTACTTTCAAGATCACACATTTTGGCACACTTATTGTTGAAGACCAGTCTTTTTCTCTAGAAACCGGCGCGCACGGCTATAATTTTCATGATATTGCACAGCAATGCTGTTGTGCTTTCATCCATTTTGTGAATATGAAGAATTAATTGTCTGGAAATTGAAAATGTGAGTATTTTATGGGGGTGAGTCAAAACCGCACAGAAACTCACGCAGCACTCATTCTCAGACACCGGCGTAATTGCAGTACACAAGTCAAAAAAGCAAAGAACAAAATACATGTGTTCTCGGGAAAAGCCTCAAGGGCACCCCGACAGTCTGAGACACCGGTGTTGATTCCCACTCAAAGCAACCCCCACGCAACCGAACTTCCTCTTCCCCGAAGCGTAAGCCCTCAACTCTAGCACGTTGGATTTGTAGGGAACCCTAGACCCTAAGCCCTGAAACCCTAAACCTTCAACCCTAAACCCTAAACCTGAAACCCTAAACCCTAAACCCTGAACCCTGAACCCTAAACTGGCATGTAAGGTTTAGAGGTGTCGATACTTGGGCTTCCTAACTAGGACCGTATCCATGAAGCAACGAAGGCCTCAAACCCCCAAACCCGAAAGACACTAAAAGCAACAAGAAGGCCCAGCCCCCCAGCTAACGACCTCAACCCTAGGTTTTAGGGTTTAGGGTTTAGGGTATAGGGTTTAGGGTTTAGGGTTTAGGGTCCCCTTGCAGAGAGGCTCTTCAACTCGGGTCCAAAGACGAACCCGTGGATGCCACCTGGAAGCACCTTTCAAGGTTTGGGGGTTTAGGGTTTGGGGTTTGGGGTTTAGGGTTTAGGGTTTAGGGTTTGGGGTTCAGGGTTTGGGGTTTGGGGTTTAGGGTTGGGGTTTGAGGTTAACCTCCAATGTCAGACTCGGGATTGAACGGTTGATCCAGGGTGAAAGGCTTACTTGGAACTCGATTCGCCTTCCGTGTCTTGTGAAGCCTGATACCAGAAGAAGCCAAAGGACCTTCTTGAATCCCAGGTGGCCGTGGTGAGCCCGGCGGTCCAGGGTTTCAGGGGTTTAAGGTTAAAAATTGAAGGTTTAGGGTTGAGGGTTTCGGGTTTAGACCCTGAAACCTAACCGCATAAACCCTGTAAACCCTATAAACCCTAAGGGTTTTTGTTCGGGCAGACCCTAAACCCTGGCACCTGAGCCCGCAGAAGTAGGGGTACCTTATTGAGCCCCTTAGAGGGATTATATTGTGGGGGAGAAAAGGTAACAACTTCCGTCAGTCTCTACCTAGAACTAGTAGGTAAACCTAAACCCCAAAACTCCTTTTGCCTTCAAGGTTTAGGGTTTAGGGTTTAGGGTTTAGGGTACCTCAACCTTGGGCCCTATTCAGGCAGGAGAGCGGCACTCGAAAGATCACAGCGGGGGAGACTGTGCAGCTGGACCGGGCAGGGGTTTAGGGTTTAGGCTTAGGGTTTAGGGTTTAGGGTTTAGGGTATAGGGCTTAGGGCTTGTAGGGCTTAGGGCCTAAGCGTTTTGCGGGCTTAGGGCTCAGAGAAACATCGCAAAGATGGTATGTTTGTAGTGGGAACACTGGGGTATTCTTCCCACAGTGTACCTACTACATGAACTCCCAGCCAGCCGAGACCTGCGTGCCGTTCATCTTTTGCACGCGGCAGAGAGGGCTGTTCTAAGTTGCGGGGGCTGCTTTGGCACCCTACACATTTCTCTTAAAAATATACACATGCATAATCTGTGAAAGAGATGCAATGTTCAGCATATTTCCAGACGTGAAATTTTCACATCCTCCGTTACATTGTCTGTATCTGCGCTGTCCATGGCTCAACAGCATGTGCATAGCAATCTCAGCACTTTGGGGGCATGGGTTCGGGAATCAGGGGCTTAGGGTTTAGGGTTACAGGGCTTAGCGTTTGGGGTTGCATGTCTTTTGATTTAGGTTTACATGGTTTCAGGGGTTTGGGGTTTAGGGTAAAGGGTTAGGGTTTAAAGACACAGGACACAGATGTGGTGGGGCCGTTCGGTTACTACGTGGACTTCTCCCGGACGTTCACGGCAGGTCGGCACTGCGTCGATACGTCACCTTAAACCCTACCCGATAACCTCTACCCTAAACTCCAAAATCCTGAAACCGAGAACCTTACGCAATCCCATTGAAAGGAGGCAGGAAGAGAGAAAGAGACAGAGAGAGAGAGAGAGAGCAAGAGAGCGAGCGAGAGGAGAGAGAGAGAGAGAGAGCGAGAGAGAGAGAGAGAGCGAGAGAGAGAGAAAGAGAGAGAGAGAGAGCGAGAGAGAGAGAGAGAGAGCGAGAGAGAGAGAAAGAGAGAGAGAGAGAGAAAGAGAGAGAGAGAGAGCGAGCGAGCGAGCGAGAGAGAGAGAGAGAGAGAGCGAGCCCTGCCTCTCACACATAAGCGTGGGAGAGTCTGAGCCGCACAAGTTGGGTTTAGGGTTCAATGGCGCTTTTGGTTAGCTCCCAACAGCCTAAAGGGCCCAAAACCCTGAACCCTAGGCCCTAACCTAAGCCCTAAACCCTAGGCTCCCTACACACTGAACCCCAGCCAACCGATCCAGCCTATTTCATTGGAGGCTATGGCTTCGAAGGCTTCCAGCCCTCGGAGGCCCAGAAGAAGCACTACCGCCTCGCGCTGGAGACGCTTCCCTGCACTTCAGGGAGCAGGAGGCTTGAGTTTAGGGTTGAGGGTTGTTTTTTTGGTTTAAGTTTTAGAGTTGTTCCCCACCCTCGGTGTGGGGTTGTTAGATGTTAAACTCGACTCTTCTCCTCTCCCGGAACCTTCTCCTCACTTCGAACATCCCCACCCTCTCTTGGTAGAGATACTCTGGGGGTTGGGCACTCCAGGGACACTCTGGGGCTGGGCACTCCAGGGAGACGCCGGGGTTGGGCACTCCAGGGACACTCTGGGGGTTGGGCACTGCAGGGAAACTCTGGGCTCTGGACTCCGTGGTTGGGCACTTTAGCGAGACTCTGGGGTTTGGCACTGGGCTCTGGACTCTGTGGTTGGGCACTCCAAGGGAGACTATAACTTCAGGGAGACTCTGGGCATGGGGTTTGGCAATGCAGGGAGACTCTGCGCTCTGGACTCCGTGGTTGGGCACTCCAGAAAGACTCTGAGGTTTGGCACTGCAGGGAGACTCTGGGCTCTGGACTCCGGGGTTGGGCACTCCAGAAAGACTCTGAGGTTTGGCACTGCAGGGAGACTCTGGGCTCTGGACTCCAGGGTTGGGCACTCCAGGGTTTGGCACTGGCACTTAAAAACCCTGAAGCCCCAGAAAAGCCCTAAGGCCCTAAGGACGAAGAAGCCCTCAACAAGCTTCAGCCCCCCTCAAAAAAGCCCTGCCAACAAACTCTCCGAGGATGGTCGCGCACAACATGGCGCTTCTGAAGCCGGGCGCGACCTTCGCGAACGTGACCTTCAATGCCTGGCCCATCCCCGAGGACCATCTTGGGGCTTTTGGATTTAGGGTTTAGGGCTTGGGGTTTAGGGTTCTGGGGTTTGGGGTTTAGGGCTTAGGGTTTAGGGTATAGGGTTTAGGGGGTTCAGGGGGTTTACTTGGGGGGTGTTGCGGGGTTTGGAAGGATTTTGGGTTCATAGGACTTTCTTGGTTTATAGGGTTGTGAGGTTTTTGGGTTGATAGGGTTTAGGAATCCGTTTAAATCAAGGCGAACTCGCTACTAAGATTGATCCTTAATCAAGATGCCCAGTCAGGATGAGGGGTCTACCTCCAAGTTGAATTGCAGTTGCTAGTTGGGCTAGAAGGTCCCCTATATGAGACTCACGGCAGTTGTATCTGAGCTTAGGCCAGTGATCACCCACTATATCTACCCATGAACGTCCCAGGGCACCGAGCGACTCCCCCTTTGTGAAAAAGTAACGATCATCCTTTTCTAAAAGCCCCAACATACTATGAGTGTACAGGTCGTACACAGACAAGGTGACAAGGTGCCTTGTGCTATCATTGTCTTTTTGAGGGCGTCGGTGGGAGGGGGCTGAGGGAACCCACAACCCCTACTGGGAGCGGCAGTTCCTCGGAGGAGTTTCAGGACCACAAGTACCACGTGCAAACCCACGGCACAGGCATGACGGGTGAGTTCCTTGGCAAGATGACCCTGCCGGGTCCCACAGTAAACCCTCTCATAACCCTCCTGAACGCTAACCCCTAAGCCCGACGAGGCTTGAAATACAAGCCCCCTCGACTCTAAAGCCTTTTGGGCTTATACGCCCGAGGCTCAATGAAATAGAGGCTTGCTATGACCTGTCGTACAAGTATAGCGTTCTTATGGGAGGGGGGTTCAAAGGCTCCGTAAGCTTGCGGAAGGTTTTCTAGGTGCCTACCCCCCATGAACCCCCTCCCTTAAGAACCCTATAATGCCATGCGCCTTTTACTAGCACCCATATATTCTGCAGCTGCCGTTGCCGGTGTTTAGGGTCGGTTGGTGCGCAGTCATCAAGTTAGTGTTTTGGATTGTTGGGATTTAGGGTTATGGGGTTTGGGGTTTGGGAGTTTCGGTTTTAGGTTTTTGTTGTTGTTGTTGTTTTTTTTTTTGGCAGTGGGGGAGGGGTGGCGGGGATGTACTGTAGGGTTTTGAAGCCATTCCGGTCTTCAGTTTGGGGTTTTGGGTTTCGGGTTTCTGGCCATGAATTCTCGACCATTCAGTACATTTTATCACTTCTCCTCTGTCCCTGCATATGTTTTGGTTTTCTGAGCTGCTATGCACTCATGTTTGGCATCTTCGTGTCTTGCTTGCTCGTCTGCGCTGCTTGCCGTCAAAGCAGTAAACATTTTACAGGCCCTACTGATCCGAAGTTAAACAATAAGCCGCAAGTCCTGTGCATCTTAGAAACCCTGAATCCAGGTACCCGTACATCTTCCACCCCTCGGATTGGGAAAGCCATGGCTACGACGGCGAAGTGGTGGAAGGCGCTAGTTGGCCATGGTGGGTCAGGGTGCTTTTTTCGGCTACAGGGTTTGTGGCTAAAGGCTTGCTCGAAAGGAACACCCTACAAGCACGCCAAGCTACCAAATCCCAAGCTCAAAACTTACCTAAACTCGCCCGAGGCTCATTCCAGGCTTAGCATTGAGTGTCTAGGGCTTCTGTAAACTGTCCAGGGTTGAGGGTTTAGCCTGAACCCTAACTCAACCCGACAGCCTAAACCATAGACCCCAAACCTTATGAACCCTTGTACTAAACCTTAAAGCTTAAGCCCTAAAACCCTAAACCCTAAACCCTAAGGTTTTACATTTTTTCGGCATACCACCAGGCATGACGCTGAGCGTCGAGGCCTTTATCGGCTCCAAGTTCGGAGGCCACGTGGACCTCGCGAGGGTTTAGGGTTTAGGGTTTAGGGTTTAGGGTTTAGGGTTTAGGGTTTAGGGTTTAGGGTTTAGGGTTTAGGGTTTAGGGTTTAGGGTTCAGGGTTCAGGGTTTAGGGTTTAGGGTTTAGGGTTTAGGGTTTACGGGCTATGTTTTTGTTAGGGTGTCGAGTCTGGAATATGTGGCTTGAATCCCCCAACTGGAAAAGAGGAACTTTGAAGATGCTGGAATGGTAGCCCGAATCCCTAATAAAAGCTCTAAACCCAAAACCCAAAACCCAAACCCAGGTTCGGGGCTCTGGGCTTGCGGGCTCCGGTATGTTTGAGGGGATTGTGCCTTAAGGAATGGTTTGTGTCTGGGAGCTCAGCTTGATGAAGTTTAGCATGCTACCAAAGCGTTCTGCTCATGCTCACAATCCTAGTACCTGTTCTTGGTATCACCGTTGTTGCTGTTTGATGTTCTTTCTATGCGGCCTGTTGTTGTTTCAGTGGGGGGGGGGGGGGGCTTGTGTGTTGTGCTGAAAGAAGATCTAAGAAGGCCTCGGTTCCCGTGATTGTGGGCCGCGAGTCCACTAGATTCAACTTCAGTGGATTCTAGGGCTTAGGGCTTGAGGTCTAGAGGTTAGGGCTTAGGGGTTCCGCAGCCAAGGTGAAGGGGTCAAGTTCGAGCAGCACGGGGTCATTCGGAAGAACGGCGCCCTGGCTGTCTTAGGATTTGGAGCCACGTCTGTTTTTCGCGAGGGGCGGGGGGAGATTATAGGTAGGCCCTCAGGTGCTGATACATGTACATATATACATATATATTTTTCGTGTTACTGGATTTGGAAGACCTACTCCAGGATTTATAGGGTTTTTCAGGGCAGGACCTTGGCATAGTCGTGCATGCTCTTGTTGAAGAGGATCCTATTGGGGAAGATGCTTCAGAGGGGCTAATTGGTCAGTCTCAGCCTGGAGAGGTCAGCAGCTTGGGCCTTACCTTTTTAGGGTTAAACCCACCCATACATCAGCAGTCCCTTTTATGACCAGCTAACATAATCATCGGGCCCGAAAAAAGCCTTGGTTAGCAATATTGCTACAGAAGGGTTTCGACACCCCATCCCAAGAAAGGAACTTGAGGACAGCAGGTGCAGACTCTTTTTTGGAGCCTCAAGCTTAGCAACTCTGATTCCTAAAGCCCTCAAGCCTGCAACCCCCCGCGAAGACGGCTCACCCCCAAAACCCTGGCGCCTAAACGCCATATCTCCAAACCGTCAACCCCGCACCCAAAACCCTTAGCCCTAAACCCCCAATCCTAAGCCAACCCTAAGCCCTCAAACCCTCAAGCAGAGTCCAAAGCCGTAAAACCTTCAGCCCTAAACAAGTACTCCCCTTAAGAAATCATGACTTGCTTCGTCATGGTTCTATGACAAAGTACACCCCAAGCCCCCTGAACCTTAAACCATAAACCCCAAACTCCCCAAACCCTAAACCCTAAAACCCAAACCCCAAACCCTACTAAACCCTACACCCCAAACCGCCTAAACCCGAAAAGAAATCGCCCGATCCAGGCTTCGAGCTGCTTTCCACCGGCGTGCCGCCGGAGGAGCTGGAACATGGGTGCTTCTTCAAACCCTAAGCGCCCATGTCCCACAATATTATGAAGGTACTTAAAAAGGAGGTGCTTTAACAAGGTCCACCATATCATTATACTTGGGCCCAAAGGTTCCTATATAGGAGGTGCTTTAAGGCCCAAGTCTTCCCTTTTTCAGGTACATGGGTTCTTCTAGGGCCAAGTCTTCTAGGGTCCATGATGGCCTAAGTACCTTCAAGGGGGCTTAGTGTAGGGTTTAGGGGGTTAGCAAGTAGGGTTTAGGGAGAAGGCGTAGTTCCTACACAGCAGCTTTCATTTCTGGACCCGCAACTGAGGGCTTTGGGGATGCTGTGATCGTACGAGGCCTACCTTTTTTGGATAAGGGCCCATAAAAAAGTGAATCACCCACATCGGTAGGGGGAGGGGGGGGGGGGGAGGGGAGGGCTTGCCGATGCGATGCTTGTTCTTCAGTCTGCCCGTTACATAGTTTCTTAGTTTGGACTCACTGACACTGCACGCTAGATCAACGCTGTGCCCCAGACCTTAAGCCCCAAACCCTACTCCTTTACCTTAAACACTAAACCCTAAACCCTAAACCCTAAACCCTAAACCCTAAACCCTTCTTTCGCCCAGTCTCCAAGTGTGCCCCTGCAGCGCTGGCGAGGATTACCTGCTCGCCGGCGAGGAGAAATTTTGCGTCTCCAAGTGAGCCTCAGGTTGTTGGTTGAAGCCAGGTGCATAGGGCTTACCCTAAACCCTAAACCTAAACCCTAAACCCTAGACCCTAGACCCTAGACCCTAAACCCTAAACCCTAAACCCTAAACCCTAAACCTTAAACCCTAAACCCTAAACCCTAAACCCTAAACCCTAAACCCTAAACCCTAAACCCTAAACCCTAAACCCTAAACCCTAAACCCTAAACCCTAGGCCAGGTTTATAGCGTCTAGATGGACTTTTCAGGGAGGAGGCTCGGAGAATTTTGGAGGCTGCTGCTTCTGCGCGTGGCGCCCTCTGGAAGCCCAGCGAGACTCCCACCAAGTAGGTTGGGATGTGCAGGGTCGTTTAGGGCTTAAGGGGCTTTAATTTAAAAGGGCTTAAAAGAGTTTAAGGGCTTCAAGGGGTGTACGGGGCGTTAAGGGGTTGTGAGGCGTTCAAAAGGTTTAGGGTTCAGGGTTTGGAGGCTTGAGGTTGGGCAAGTCTAGGCGCCGAAAGCCATGGAAAACCGAGTCCTGCACCCCCAGGAATTCATCTGGTCCGTTCTCTAAACTAGGGTTTGTTGTGGGGTTCCTATTATGAGGTGGGCCCTTATATTTGGGGTACCCCACAAGGGACCCCATTTCTGAGAAGTGACCATCTGAAGCCGCCAAAGAGCCCTCCTGAAACCTTATCGCCACTAGGCCTCTGAAGCCCTGGATATGCCGGCCCTCCGAGCTCTAGACTAAATCTCTGAACCCGAAACCCTAAACCCTAAACCCTAGACCCTAGACCCTAGACCCTAAACCCTAAACCCTAAACCCTAAACCCTAAACCCTAAACCCTAAACCCTAAACCCTAAACCCTAAACCCTAAACCCTAAACCCTAAACCCTAAACCCTAAACCCTAAACCCTTCAAGACAGAGCTGGGCTCCTAGAGGGCTTAACCTCGGACAGTCTGCTGGGGGCCTTGCGCAGCGGGCCCGCAACTTTGCGGGGCTTCGGCTCAGGGCTCTGAAGGCTCATAGGGGCTTAAAGGGGCTTGGGGGGTCCTAAAGGGCTTATAGGGGCTTATAGGGGGCCTAGAGGGGCTTAGAGGGTTTAGGGTCTGGGCTTCAGGATTTATGGATTGAGGATTTTTGGGGTTTGGGGCTTGTGGTTTGGTGGTTTTTGGGGTGTAGAGTTTGTAGGGACCTTTATTTTTGCAGGGCCGTGGTCCCCAAGTCCTAAACCACCAGTTTCAGGTTTCGACCAACCCTTGACCAAACCTTCAACACCAAACCTTCAACTCTAAACCCTAAACTCTCAGGACAAAACACCCTCTTAACGAGCCTCAGAAGAGGTTAGGATCCGTTGTAGATTGTAGACCCGTCCGTCATACCTCCGGTTGCACACGCATTTGGACCTTGCAAGATGGGAACGTCTTCTCACTCTTCACCACGGTCGCTTCGCCGGGAAGTGCAGGGAAAGAGTATACTGTACCAGGGTCACTAGGGCTTAGGGCTTAGGGCTTAGGGTTCAGGATTTAGGGCTTAGGCTTGTTTTTTTTCTAGTCCTGCTTGCCCCATTGAACACGAATTCTAAGCCACAAGTACACTGCCTCGTTTCGCTGAAGCCCCAGAGCCGGTCGGTTGGACCAGTCCAGGTTTTCTTGAGGCTTGATAGGAGCAAGTACAGTCAGAACTGGTAGCATCCCTTCGGTGTACTTAGAACACTACTTCTTATAGCCAAGATCCTGAACCCTGATCTGATTGTGCTTACGGTAGATCTAGGCCGAGGCGAATAGCTGGGGCTGAGAATTTAGCAACTACAGAGCTGCTGGGCGATAACCTTCTTTGGGTGCATTTCTAACCACTTTTCTTATCACTTCCATGGAATCTTCAAGGCAAGCTTAACCCTGGAATCGAGTCGGCTCGAGTGGGTCTCGATGCCTCGAGAGCAGAAGCCCCCCCTTTGAAGGGCCTCGGTTGATGAGGGTCAAGCGAGGCTGCGTGAAAGAAGCGCCAAAACATGCTCGACCCTAAACCCCAAGAGCGAAAACCCGAAGCTCAAAGCCCGAAACCCGAATGAAGCCCAAAACCTCAAAGCTCCTCAACCCTCAGCCGGCTTATTGATTGGAGTCCGGGCTTTCCCAGCAACCGCAGCCGTGGTAGTCCCGTTCCCCCCAAAACCGGGGGACTCTCCACTGTTGAACTTGGGGATGCGGCCCAGGACTTCTAGAAACCCTTAAGTCAAGGGTTGTTCCCAGGTATGGTCCTTAAACGAGCGCAAGACGGTTCAGTTGCTTGGGGTTTCCGCAAAGTGAGTGTAAGGACAAACCCTGAAAAAATAAACTCCTAAGCTTTCCAGCCCAAACCCAGGTGTATACAGCAAGTTAGTCCCTTCCTGCTGCAGCACACACGTGTCGAGGCACTAAACGGTGCCAGGCGAAGTCGGAGTGTCTTCCAGAATGTGGGACTCAGGATTCAGGGTTCAAGGGTTCGGGGTTTAGGGGTTTCGGGTTTTGGGGGAGTCAGCGTCGTAGATTCTTGCGACGGCGGGGATCATGCGGCTGCTTCTCCTGTGCCTCTCCTGGCTGGCCTCGGGCCAGGAGGACTGCGCCGAGGGCGAGTGCGCGCTGAACATGCTGCAGCGCGGGGCAAGACAAGTGAGCTATTAGCACTAGTTTGCGACACAGTCAAACCTCCTACTGGTAGAGGATTCTTCAGGGCGTTGTGTACTGTAGCTGAGAGAATCGGCTTCACGAGAGAAAGCGGCAATTTCGAGCACTCTCAGCATCCACAAGATGCCGACTTCATGTAGTGCCCACTTCTGGTCATTAACGAAGAGCCCCAACGCACGCCAGGGTGCAGCGCTGTCACAGAGGTGGAACAACCCTTTTCCGAGAGAGAAGCGCTCCCCCTGCGCCCAGCAAAAGCCTCATCCCTTCGAACACCACGCCCCAGATCGCAGGTTCTAAGTCTGCAGAGGCACCCTGAAGCGCAAACCCTAATCCCCTGCAAGCCTGGATCCGATAACTCTGAAGTCTGGAAGTCCCTACACCCTAAACCCTAAACCCTAAACCCTAAACCCTAAACCCTAAACCCTAAACCCGACAGAGCCCCAAGTCACTCCCAAGCCCAGAAGCTCAGGTGACCATGGATGAGGGCCTCGATGGGGAAATTGATGCCCAGGTGGGGGCCCTCAATGGGACCAGCTGCAGCAACTTCATGCTCACAGGTGGGGGGAGGGGAGGGCAGGGGTTTCGGGTTTGGGGTTTAGGGCTTGGAGTTTAGGGTTAAGGGCTTGGGGTTTAGGGTTTCGGGGTTTAGGGCCAGTTTAGGGCTTTGCAGATGAGGGTTTCATAACATTTGCGCAGCAACTGCATTCGTGCAGGAGGGTACGGGCGCCAAAGAAGGGCGCCAAAGAAGTCGGCGGGGATTAGAGGGCTGTTCAAAGGGCTTTACGGGGTTTATAGGCTTTTTGCAGGGCTTTTGTGGCGCCTTTATAGGGCTTTTGTTCTGGGGTCTTTAGGGTTGCCCGGCAGGCAAGGTCCAGATGGTCCACTACCGGAACTGGGTGGTCGGCAAGGCAAAAGCTCGCGGCGTGAAGGGCTGGGTCGCCAATGGCGGAGATAAAAGCTACGATGGCGCCTCGTGCGGCGAACTTTCTTCGGGGTGTTGTTGTGGAGAGTTTTATTTATGTTTGGGGGGGGTTGTCTGAGAGCTATTGGGGGGGGGCTTTTGGGAAGTGAAGTTTCGAGCTTTGCAGGGTTTAGGGCTTGGGACTGCCAAAGTGTTGCAAAAAGTCAGCTGATTTGCAAGAAAATGGTTGAGGCTTCATAGGGTGTAGTGCTTTAGGGCGTAGAAGCCCGGGACCATACCCACGACGTCTCAAACTCGCGATCTGCACCTGATCTCCACATCACACGGCTGCCTCTAGTCGACCCAGAGGCCAAGTTCTTCAAACTCCGAGCATCCCAAAAATCGCTAACACCCAAGCCCACAAAAGGGCCCAACAGCCCAAAACTCTGGACCGAACCCTAAACGCCCTACAGCCCCCAAACTTCTGCCCCAAACCCCAAACCCTTTACTCTCTATTGTGGCCCCAAAGCCCTATGGACCCTAAAAAACCCTATAAAAGGTCCAACTGCCGAAGCTGAGGATCCCATGCGCCCTGTTCCACGTGTGGGTGCGTCCTTGGCCACGTGGAGGGCGCCTCCGCGATTTCAATGTAGGAATTGCGCCCTGAAGGGAGAGGGGGGTTAAGTGGGTTCATAAGACTGAGAGGGTTCATCGTTTTCTTTCGTTTACAAAGATTCAAGGGGGCAGGGTAAATACGGTTCGTCGGGCTGGGGATATACGGTTCGAAGGGTTGATAGGGTTTATAAGGTTTGGAGGATGTGGCATGTTGAGGGCTCTTCTTGCAAGGCTGAGACAAGAAGAAGTAGGGAAGTTGGAGACTTGTTAATTGAGCATGTGGACGCAGAAGGGCTACAACAGGATGAGATTCAACTTCTTGCAGGGTTGGCCAGGTTGCCTTTGCGTCCCGAGTGGGCTAAGCTTACTTTGCAAGTGTAGTTATGACGGCCACTAAGCGTCTTAAGCTACGAAATCGGGGAATCGTAGTCCCTGCTAAAGCCCAAGAGTCAGAAAAACCTTCGAGCCCCCAATGTGCCCATGCTGTAATCAAAACGACGGTTGCTCATACCCCTGCGGCCCTAAACCAAACCCCAAACCCTACTGTACCCCCTGAACCCGAAGCCTGAAACCCCTCCTGAGGCCCTCCGACCCTCTGCACCCTCAACCGACCTGAAACCCCCCGAACCAAACCCAAAACCCGAAAGCCGAAACCCTAAACCCGAAACCCTTAACCCTTAACCCTTAAACCCTAAACCCGAAAGCCGAAACCCTAAAGCCCAAACCCTAAACCCCTTAACCCTTAACCCTTAAACCCTAAACCCGAAAGCCGAAACCCTAAAGCCCAAACCCTAAACCCTTAACCCTTAAACCCTAAACCCGAAAGCCGAAACCCTAAAGCCCAAACCCCTGAAGTGCAACCCCGAGGCTCTTCAGGAGCTGTGTCGGCTTTCTTGCGAGAGGTCTGCCGCGGCGGCCCACCACACTCCCACGCCGCCCAGGATGCAAAATGAATTGGTGGTTCAAGGCTTCGGGTTCAGTAAGGGTTCTTCATTTCCGGTCTTTTGGGGCATTAGGGTTGTGGTGTTCAGGGGCTTGGGCTCTGTGGTGGGAGGTTGTGGGGTTTTAGGGGGGGTAGGGTTTGCTCGGGTTCTAGCAGCTTTCAGAGAGGTGGGCTTTATCTTCTTCGATGCGTGAGCCGCGGGAGTTTTACCTGCTCAACCCGAAACCCCAAACCCCAAACCCCCAACCCCAAACCCCAAACCCCAAACCCCAAACCCCAAACCCTAAACCCTCAACCCTAAACCCTAAACCCTAAACCCCTAAACCCTAAACCCTAAACCCTATCTCCAAGGTCGCCTCTTGCAAAGTCCACGAGGCGCCCTGCTTCCATTGCGGCTCCTTCTACAAGGAGTCTGGGTTAGTACTATGTTTCAATACTTTTTTGGGGTTTTAGAGTTTAGGGTTTAGGGTTTAGGGTTTGTTTAGGGTTTAGGGTTTAGGGTTTAGGGTTTAGGGTTTAGGGTTTAGGGTTTAGGGTTTAGGGTTTAGGGTTTAGGGTTTAGCCCCCCGTTTGTTCCCTGTGGGTCCACTTCCTACTTTAGCTTTTCGAGTACTATACTTGAATACTTTTTTGGGGTTTTGGGGGTCCTACTATAGCTACTTCTACCTAGAAAGTATATACGTTTTTTCAGGGTCTACTCCAAAGTAGGGGGAGTCTGGCTCTCTCAACCCCAAACTCGCAAGGAGGTTCAAGGTTCAGGGTTTAGGGTTTAGGGTTTTAGGGTTTGGGGTTTGGGGTTTAGGGCAAGGACACTCAGTAGCAGCCGTTAGTCCTGTTGGGGGGTTAGGCCGCGCATAAATCCCGTTTGGCCCGGACATGAAGGGTATTCCGAAAAGACGTTGGGCAACATCCGAAACCCCCTAAAATGGAACCCCAAACCTTAAAACCTTTGCTTAACTCCCAAGAAGCCTGCAACCCGAAGACCGGGCCATGTGCTCCGAAGGAGTACCCTAAACCCTAAACCCTAAACCCTAAACCCTAAACCCTAAACCCTAAACCCTAAACCCTAAACCCTAAACCCTAAACCCCTAAACCCTAAACCCTAAACCCCTAAACCCCTAAACCCCTAAACCTCTGAACCCTAAACCCTAAACCCTAAACCCAATTTGGAGGAGTACCGCTTCTGCCGGACCTGGACGGTGGAGCATTGCAAGAGCCGATGCTGACGGATGCGCAGTTTACAGAGGATCAGGGTTCAGGGTTAAGGATCTATTCAGGTTCCCGGGATAATAAGGGTTGAGGGTTTTAGGCTTCGGAGTTCATAAGGGTTTAGGGCTTAAGGGTTTTACGTGTCAGGGTTTCCGGTCTTAGGAGGGCTTAGGAAAGGGGGGATGTGGTCCTGAAGTCCTACTAGCGTTTGGGTTTCGTGTCCAGTGCGTTCATTGATCCAGTCCGGCGATGCCCGGAGATCAGCGAGAGAAAAAGAGGTCTGCGTGCGTGCGGTTCTTGGGGGTCCGTGCTTTATGTTCAGTCCGGGGTTCGGGGTCTTATCTTAGTACACTTTACACTTTTTGGGATACTATAACCCCCTATAGAACGGAAAGTGTACACTTTTGGGGGGCTTATGAACTCAGCAACTAAGTTATGCACAAAGGAGAACAGTAGCAGGGTAACACTCGAAGTCCTTGGGGCGACCCAAGCAAACTGACCCCTCCTCTTCGGTGCCGAAATAGGAATTCTATTGCATCAGTCTAGGGGCCCATGATAGACCTAACCCTAAACCCTCAAAACCCTAAAACGCAAATTTTCAAGGCTGTGTCTTCATGATAGACGCAGATGTTCAAGGATGTGTCTTCGTTGGAGAGGTGAATTCTGGGGCCCGGATGTGTCGCGTTCCTTTACGGTAATCCTCGGCCGGAAAACGCCCCCAAGACACGTCTTGAACCCCTTGATATACTCGTAATGTGGCCCTTATATTCGCTTAGAAATCCTTAACGGCCCCTCAAAACCCAAGGGTACAACCTTAAATAGATTGCAGCAAGGTCCGTGGTGGAGCCAGATGAATTGGGCGCACTTCATGTGTGGGCCGGGGACCCGGTTTGGGGTTCACAGGGTTTAGGGTTTTAGGGTTCAGGGTTTAGGGCTTAGGGTTTGGGATTTATATTTTTTGGGGTTTCAGGTTTTTTTCTCGGGCTTAGGGTTTGGAACCTCGCAGCTCGATCCGTGGGGGGACCTCATGAGCTTCTAGGTTGAGAGGTTGACATGAAAAACAACTCACCCCCTGCAACCCTCAAACCCTACGGCCCCTCCTAACGCCCTGCAACGCCTAATGCCTGAATCCAAAGCGCTCTTAAACCTTACCCTACACCCCTTCATCCCTTCAACCCCTCAACCCTTACACCCTTGAACCCTTAAACCCTAAAACCCTTAAGCCCCAAACCCTTCTATTCCCCTGAGGCCCGGGACCCAGAGGGCAGCTGGAGGCGATCCTTCTCCCAGACCTACAGCATCAAGGTGCGCCCTTTTCTTCCCTGAGGGTCCACTTGTAATATTATGGTATATGGGTACCCAAAATCCATACTAGATTCGGGTTTTTGGGTGCCTTATGCATCAAGGCGCCCCCATTTGCCTACTTGGATCTATAGGTGGGTCCAGGATTTCGGGGCTTGGGGTTTAGGATTATCGGTTTAAGAGGTTCTGGGTTTAGGGTTCAGAGTTTTGGGGTGTTGAGGGTTCGGGGTCGGAGGTAAACCGTAAATCCGAAACGCAAGGGTTGGGGGGTTCAAGGAATTGAGGGAATTGAGGGTTGGCACGTTCAGGGTTGAGAGTCGAGAGTCGAGACTTCAATTTGGGTGGGAGCCTAAACCCTAAGCCCCAAGCCCTAACCCCAAACAAACACCTGAACTCCTCATCCTCAACGATTTGGGATGCGGATGCATGCCACAGGTGCGATCGCTCTGTTGGGAGCCCACCACGAGGCACTGCCACATGTCGGGCTTGAGGGGTGAGGAAGTTACGGTGAAGGGTTTTAGGGGTTCGCAGTTCAGGTGCGTGGGGATTTTGGGGGGGGGGGGGGGGCGGGGGGGGGGGCGGGGGAGGGGGGGGGGGGGGGCGGGGGGGGGGGGGGCGGGGGGGGGTCGGGGGCGGGGGGGGGGGGGGGGTGGGGGGGCGGGGGGCGGGGGGGGGGGGGCGGGGGGGGGGCGGGGGGGGGGGGGGGGCGTAGGGGGCGGGGGGGGGGGCGGGGGGGGGGGGGCGGCGGGGGGGGGGCGGGGGGGGGGGGGCGGGGGGGGCGGGGGTCAATGTTCTTAGCTTGAGGGCCGCCTTTTCTGTTCATGTGCCGCGTGGCATTCATTCTTGCGCACTCGACAACTTAAGTAACCTCAATGGAAGTCCACAAAATGTGTTAAAGGCTTCTTGCTTTGTAGCTTTGAGCAGCTTAGGCACCGTCAGAAGTCTCTCATCAAAGAGTAGCATTGCGCGGCTGATCCCACAGGAATGCCTCTCACACGTGGACGTTAAGTACTGTGGGGTTATGTACTTTGGCATCCCTTAAAAGAAGGGGCGGTATCAATGCAAAAAAAACCCTTCTTCGCCCACAACGGGTCAGCGCTTGTCAACTTTCCCGAGCAGCCCCGAAAGCACGACAAGTCAGCTGCACGGCTCTGCAGGCAAATTTTCGTCGGGCTGGAGGATGGCAAGATCGAGGCCCTACACATTACTTCAAACTAGAAGGTTAGATTCTCCATACATCTGTTCTGAAACGTTTAAAACAGATGCCTACTTACATTGTGCGTCGGATTTGCCTCCAAGCCATGAACTCAAGACATTCCCCCAAGCCTTGCGTGTTTGTTGTGACGAGTGTTCGACTGGCATGGCTGAATGCGCAGCAAGCGTCTTTGCGCAGGGTTTTGGGGCCGTGGAGGCGAGGGGGGGGGGGGGGGGGGGGGGGCAGGTTGTCAAGCCAAAGACTGAACCCGAAAAACTTTTGGGCAGAAGAACCTCACATGTCCGGAGGTCTTCGCCCTGAAGCCTGGCGAGTCGAAACCCGAGGCCGATTTGTTTTTAGGGTTTCAGGTTTAGACGTTCAGGGTTTAGGTCAAAAGTTGTACGTATTCAGTAAGGATTAGGGTCGCTCCCCTCTTCTGAAGCCTCTTGCAAATACCTTCTTATCGCGCCTCGAGCTCTGAGTATTCGGAGAATCATCTTGCTTGGCCTTGCCAGTATTGTGGTTCTTCTTATCTGCGCTTGGTTGGTGATATATGCCTAGGGCCTCGATAGTCGTCTACCGTTTGAGGGTAGTGCTGCATTAGCCACCACTTTTCAAGGGCGGGCGCAGATGCCCGAGATTGAGGTGTGAAGGAACCCAGAGACCCCTCAATTAGGGAATGCTGGTAGAAAGTCCTTAAACTGGCGTTGTCGGAAAATTTCTGAGTTTCAGGGAAAGAATGGGTAGGTAAGGAATGGTCCTTGACATAGAATAGGCGTCCGAATGCGGTTTTCCGCGAACTTTTCTTGCCATAAGCAGTACTAGATTCTTTGGGAGGTTCCGTCTAAACCCACACTTGTCGCCTCCTCGGGCTATCTAAACCCGAAACTCTACATCACCAAAGCAACGCAGCCTGTACCTAAGACTCTCCCAAAAGTCTCAGCCGTAAAGACGTAGAACTGCATCAGTGAGGTGAAAGATCGCATTCTCCCTCTTCTAGGGTGTCGTTCAGCTCACTTTAGGTGTCAAGGGTTGCAGACTAGTAGGTCCCCTGCAACGGTCACCTCAACTGTTGCCCTAAACCCTAAACCCTAAACCCTAAACCCTAAACCCTAAACCCTAAACCCCAAACCCTAAACCCCTAAACCCCTAAACCCCTAAACCCCTAAACCGCTTTGGTGAGGCCGTGGGTTCGGTGGAGCTCCATCACAAGAGCCCAGTCACGCACCTCAGCGCGTCACCAAGGCCAGCTTTTCTGTGGGCACTGTCAGTTGATGCCTTTTAGGGCCTGGTGTATTTGGTTCCGGGAGGGTAGGGTTTAGGAAAGAACTTGAAGAACAACCTCCAGGTTGATGGTCCCTCCAGGGTTTTCATGAGCCAAACCCGATCCTACTTTGTTGGTCATGGGTAGCAATAACCTGGAGTTGTACTTAACTTAAGAAGTCAAAAAAGGTTTAGGGTTGAGGAACTATGCCGCTTTACAAGTCCTACACCCGCGTGGCCCTACGATTGGGCTTCAGCACACAATTTGAGCACGCCCCAGGATCCAAAATGTCTCAAAAAACTGCAACACCAAAACTCCCCAAAACCGTGCACGACCCAAAACCTCCAAAGCCACCATAAATCCTGAACCCTAAGCCCTAGACCCACCTAAACACTACACCCGGACATTTGAAGCCCTGCACTCGCGAAGAGGCGACTTCTGTCCGTCGGCTTCGACACCGCCATGCGCGTCATCGATGTGTCACGGGCCCCGGACCTGCCACTCTAAGGTCAAGCGTATGGGTTTAGGGTTCAGGGCTTAGGGCTTAGGGTTTAAGGTTTCGATCTGAAACGCGGCAGTCCTTAAGGTGTATGATGATGCTTGCGAGTTGGTCTTGAACCATTCTGAACGGAGTTGACAGTTGACATCTCTTCTGAGAACTCTGCAGACGGGGGGAAGAGAGCGAAGGCGCCGACACGGAGCGAGGCACACCAAGGTCTCGCAACCACAGACGACGACAAGCGCGGCCAGGACGGTGACAAGCCCGACAAGGGCGGCGGTGGTTTCGGAACAGGCCCGCCGCCACCGACGCGCCGAGCCAGAGAAGCACTTGCGTGGGCCCGTGGACTTTATCAGAGGGATAGTCCAAGAGCCTTTACAGGCATACATGCGGCGCAGACTCCCCCATAGTTCTACGCTCTAAATACCCAGACTAGGCAAAATGCAGACCCAAATCTGCCTGAGCGACGGAGCGTTTACGGTTTATAGGGTTTTTATGAGCCCAGTCCTAATGCAACCTAGCATTAAGGGTCACAATAGCCTTGGTGTCGGGGGGTTCAAAGGCTTGAGGGAGGGGAAGCAGGATTTCGTGCTTCGGGCGATTTTTGCCTGCAAGGGGCTTCGAGGCTAACGGGGCAACAGGGGAGATTCCGAGTTCGGGGCCTAGCCTTTTTGGGTGCAAAGGCTGTGATTAGGGGGTTTAGGGCTCCAGGTATCTCGAAGCTCTTAGCTCAGAGGTTGGATTTGAAGCTCGGCAG